TTGAAATTGGCCTTTTTTTAATTCAGTTGATGTACCCAAAATCGTCTATTTGAATTTTTTTTCTTATTTTTGCTGTTTGTTTAAAACTATGTATAATAGCGCTTAACGCGACATCGTTGAAATTTTAAATTTGACACCAAAAAGAAAAACAGTAGAATTAGTATTCTGACAGTGATTAAAATTACCATCATGATACTTTTTGATAGGAATCTAATCTTATCTAATAACTGTTCTAATCACGACTTAACTATAGCTACTACTTCGAAAAAATATAATAAAATTAAAATATATATCATCTATACATGTCCCCACTGTGCTGGGCTATTTATTTATGCTTTTGAGACCTTTTAAACACAAGCACTAGGCAAGTTCATTAATGACTTTGCTCTTCCGCCAACTTTAGGTAACAGACACGGAAAAATACGTATTAAACATATCATAGTAAAATTAATAACTTTTCAGATTAATCTAACAAGTTTTGCGAATTTGTATTGTTGTTTAAACTATGGAAGAATTGATTTGCCACCTATTCTATAATCTTTACCTAGGGCTCTGATATACACGTGCAATAAACAAGTATGAGAATATTAATTCATGAATGTGAATTAATATTATTTTAATATTCTGTATAAATATACAGAATCATATTAAAAGTGACATAGTAGATCATTATCTCAGTTAGGAAATTTTAAAGGACATATCTTAAGAGTATTTTATTTTATTGCAAAAAATGGTCATTCAATAAAATAATATTTAATGAACTGATATTTTTAGAGGCATACAAATTATGTTGCTTCCTACGTCAAAATCTTTATACGCCTCTGGGAATTTATCCAGAAAATAATTTAACGTCTATTGAAACATTTATAATACTCACCATCACACATAAAAACAAGTTGTTAATATGGGGTAAAACTGATGTGAAGTGACTTAACGTACAATGTTTGAAATCAAATATGTGTATTTCTTTCTTATTATTATCTAGTTTGGACAATCTTATGTTCGAGCCCATAAAAAAGATGCTTAAGATGTTAGTAATGCTAAAATTAGTCGTATCTTCAGTTTTTAAATGACTCAATGTTACTCTACTTGCATCACGTGTTAATATTGGTAATGGAATGGTGACACTAAAAAATATTTAAACTATTTACTAAACAAAAATATCAACAAAACTTTTTTGATAAAAAAATGAAATTGATATGAATAGATGCTATTCATAGTTATAATTGTTTCATATTAAATATTTATAAAACAAAAAGTTACACCAAATAATGATACCATGAAAAGAAAAAATTAGAAAATAACCTTGGTCAACAAAAGAATTTTCATCAAAGACGAAAATATATTTTACTAAATCAATTTTTTAAACCGATTTCAAATATGGAATTCATTTATTCTAACATCTCCAGTTTTAAAGATAATTATTAATTAGTAAAGACAAGTAATTGAAAAAGCACATGTAAAAAAATAATTTAAAATTAAAACAAATTTAAAAATAAATTATGGTAAAAATATCAATTTTTGTAAAAATTAATTTTAAAAGACGAAAAAAATTTTTTTTTCATGTATAATTACTTGTATTGAACATTTTTAGAAAAATTCTATAATGGTGTTTTAATTTAATAAGTACATGTTTATAGAATTTAATTTTTAAGTTATTTAGAAAATTTAAAATATTAAAAATACTTGAAAAAATTCAGTTAACTATTAAGTATATTTTTAATTATTAAGATTTTTAAGCAAAATGCATATAAATATATGATAATAAAACTCAAATTTTATTAATTTATACTTACTAAAATCCACAAACTTCATTGAAAAATTTATTCGTTACATTGTAGTGATTTAAATATGTTAATATAGTTTTTATTGTATAATGATTTTCAATTTTTTGTTTTGTTTTTTCTATGCTGTTATTGCACGCCAACAATAGTGATTTTACTTTCTGTTTCTGATCTAAATATCCATTTCAAACAGGGTTATTAAAAAACATGTTTCAAAAAAAAATAAAACCTGTTTATAACATAAATAATCGTTTTCAAACGTTTGAAATGTCTTATAAAACCAATGTCAATTTTAATGGGTGTAATGTAATCTATTGTATAACAGGAAGTAAAACATTTTATTGAACATTATCATGTTTGGTATAATTGTAACATAATTGTCGTGTTCTGATCTATTGTCATTAGATCAGGAATTAAATATTTTATTAAACATTTTTGAGAACTGTTGTACTATTAACTTTGTATTAGATTAAAAAAAAAAACAAAAATTTTAATATATAAGACGGAATGGATTAAACTGTCAAAAAAGTATCCTGGGTAATCTAATTTTTGTGTGGTACGATTTTTACAAATATTTATATTATATTTTTACAAATATAAACTGTCTTTATTGTCACAAATGAAAATAAAATAATATTTTCATTTGAGTGTGTTCTTGTTTTGTACGTTTTATCTTGTTATAATTATATCTTCAATAATTACGATTGAACAATTTTTCCTTTCTATTATCCCCAATAAAAGTGAAAGAGCTTTGTTATTAAAACACGGATGGGTCAGTATATGATACCACCTTGGTAGTCATTTAACGAGTAATTTGTGTTGGTAATTGTAAGTACCCTTAGTCTTAATACTCTTTTGGGTCACGACTAACAGTCGTGGACATACCTCAAATGTTAAGCACTCTAGGACACTTACCCCGTTACCTCTCTTAGCACCACATATATATTTATTATTATTATTATCAAAAATGTCAATAATAGTATGATTAGATAAAAAAAAATTATGTATTTGAAAGAAATTTAAATAAAAGTGGAGTTTCGGCTTGACTCATACATTTTTAATATTTTGTAATTAAGTTTCTAGAGCATTTTAAAATATGTAAACATTTAAATTTTTTCCTGTTTATAATATAATATCTAACATTGATATATGGTCATCAAAGAATAGAAATAACGCAACCTTTATACATTTTATATTAGTTAGAGCAATTGAATTTTATTGAATAAAATTGATAAATACTAATTATTGTTAATCTTGAACTATTGTTAAACTCACATGATAGGTAAAGAAATTATGTGTTTTTGTTATTAGTTGATTCATTTTTTTATCTATTATATTAAAAGGCTATTTTGATTTTTCTTCTTTGCATTATCTCTAGTTATTTCCCTTTCCTTGTATCTTATGAGAAATTATTAATCTGTTGTTTGTATACGATATTAAATTGGTAAAATTATTACTATTATTATTAACATACCCACTATAAGAAAAATTGTTTTTCATATTTTTGTAGTCGTTCTTGTTATTCGGCAATTGTTGCCTAAGTTGGTATTTTACACTTCTCCTGTTTTTCGGCTCGCTATAATATTACTGTTGAAATAATGCACAGTTTATTTTAATTTTTTGACTAAAGAATTCTGTGCTTTATTTTGTAATTTAAAGTTACTGGTCGCCTTAATCAAGTATATCCAGATTTAGGAAAGTAAACAGTGTTTTTTAAAAAGTGCAGCACTGATGCCACACAGCAGAGGGTTAAATGGAATTTTTTTTAAATCGCATGTAATTGATCTTACATTTTATCTGGGTTTTTGAACAGAAACGTATGTTAATTTATCAAACGTTTTATAAAAGGTTAAAAAATAATATTTAATACCTTCCAAGTTTGGCAAATGAGGTTGCTTTCGTGTCCATTCCATAATTGCTTCAATATCATTTTTAATTTTCTCTTCAGTTGTACCTAATTCAGCATAAATTTCTTCCACTTGAATTTGCGAAGCAAGTGTTAGAAAATTCGAATCCATAATTCTTAAAATATTAATACAAACACTAACTTTTTTAATATACTTTAAACATTTAACCAAAAAGTACCACAAAATATTTATATCAGTTTTCAGTTTTTAATTTTTCAATTAAAAAAGTATTATACACAATGTTTTTCGTCGAGATATTATTGTTATTTGATTGTAAAACACTTTATACAATTATTTTATACCTTAATACTGTAGTATTCAGGATATACGTTGTTAAATAAAATTATTCAAAACTGGTTTTTTCATTATATAAACATGTTTAAACATTGATTAACTAAAATACTATTGAATTTATTAAAAATTAAATAATTCAAATCGATTTTTCCTTTTTAAATACTTTACAGTATTTATTTATATTGTATTAATTTATTCACAGGATGTTAAATTAGCGGAGGTTTAATTTTAATTTTTTTCCTTGAAGACTAATTTATCTATAATATAAACTAAAAAATCATTATAATACTAAATTATTGATTGACGATATCAATATTTAAATTAAATATTATAAATTTATTAAGTTGTCAGTGTTATTATTTTATCTTTACATCACAACTTTATTAACTGTTAAAATGAAGTGACGTAAATTTAAATGAATGGGGTAGTTGTGAATTCATTTTTTCTCTCAGGGTATTATTTAGCAGATTTTATTTTATATTGAAAAGTTGTGGTCCTTAAATATATTTCTAATATTAAATGGAAGTTCGAAATAAAAATTTGTTCATTTATCTATTAAATACTTTCACAATTACTGTACCTCATCTTACTATGTTTAAATTACTTACAGATTTTTGTTCCCAATCTAACCTAACCCCCTCTGACATAAATTAATAAATAGTTGTGTACAATTTATCATGATTAGAAAAAATATATTTTGGCTAATTTATAAAATAGGGGTTAAAATAATAATAAAAAAAAAATTGTAACACCACACATAATTGTTATTGATACTTTTGACATGTTTTCTGAATAAAAAGCTAAATAAATTTTTTGAACACTTAATATTAGTTCTAATCTATTATCATAAAAGTATTACTAAAATAATGAATAAATTTATTTTTGTTTTTTTAATGCATTCTGTATAAGGGACGACCTAAAAATACCGACTATTGAAAATGATCTAAATATGTCAATTTCTTCATAAAATAATAAAACTCCCATAAATTTATTAAAATTTAAATTAATCACAAAATCAAACAAAGACAGTCTTTTATTTTGTTCAGAAAATTACAATAATTCTATAACATAAAATAATTATAATATTTTAATAGAAATATCACATTTAAGATATATCACATATATTATATATAAATGTATTATATTATACATCATAATACACAAAAAACAACTGTGCAGTACTTAATACTAATATTTAAGATGATCATTTTTTGTCGTCATATCGGCAATATAATTAAATATATTTTTTAATTTGTAACTTCTATTTTGATTATTGAAGTATCCTGATACTATCTTTTTTTCTGAAAAAAAGTCCAATTTTAACATTACTATAAATATTTACTATATCATTAATTAATTTTTTTATAACGACTTAGGTATAGTCACTTAATGAAACAAATGATTAGGGTTAATTAATTAAACAACCCAAACTAAGTGGTATTTTAACTTTTTACTAAAATGAGGTTTTATAATGGAATAATTAAAGATATCCTAGTGCTTATTTTTGTTAATGTGTTTATAAAGTCATTTTCCCTCCAAAACTGAAATGATATAAATCACATGCTATAAAAACTAGTATCAGGTAGTTTTATGACTCTTTTAAAAAATGTTGAAAAAGTAGATACATGGTATAGTAAATTATCTACATACTAGTAATAGTAATATTACTTAATCATAATAAAATTTTTCAAAAAGAATTCTTAAATTAGTTATGGATTTGTATAAGGGAAAATGTTACCAAACAGAAGCCTAATTATAACTTAGTACAAGATTTTTAATCGTGTGTTTAAGCTCCAAGTTGGGTGACAGTTAGTATGGCCCCAAGGGATTGAAAGTATACTAGAAATTGTGTAAATAAAGATACAGTATGAGATTAGAACACATGACCTCAGAGTATTGTAAAGACAAACCTTACTACTAGGCCATGATGTAGTCATAATTCAGATCCCAATACACTTTCATAATGGTTGATAATGTGATGTATGGCTGAGGGTATCATGGTACCATGTTAAATTTACAATAGGGAAGTACAAAAAAAAAAAATCAATTAACAAGTTACCATGAGAACTCTTTGAACTATTTTTTTTTATTAATTTTGAGCAAAAACAAAAATAATTTTTATCTTATCATAGATAAAATTATTATTACCAATGGGAGGCATGTGCTCCTGAGTCTCTCTCTATATACACTGCACATTTAAAATATTTTTCATTGAAAAATAATTGAGAAGAAAATACATAACAATATTATGAATATGAGTAATGTATACCAAAATATACAACCAAAATCACCCTAATTAAAATTATTAAAACTTTGAATCTTACCAGAATTTGTAGTAGGTAATATATTATCATTAGCAGACAATGAAACTACATACATAAAAGGTACCATCCATATACAAATAGTAAAATAGGATAAAACCTGTAATTAATTGAATTGATAAAATAATAAATTGGTAAATTCAATTAGTTTACAAATTTTATTTACTTCTAAGAATGTAGAATGACGTTGGACAAAGAACTTGAAGGCTAACCCATGACTAAAAATTAATAATACTAAAGAGAACACAAATGATAATGACGTGAAACTTATGTATGGAAAATCAGAGAGCCAAAAATAATATACTCCATGGCTTAACAAACCAATTGCAATTAAATCAAATGATACATCATCAAAGAAATATAACCCTAAATGACACAGTATAATAATCTGAAACCAAAAGTAAAATAAAATTTATCAATTTAATCAAATTTATATAGGAGGATTCCTTAACTTCGCTCACAATATTTTCAAAAGAATAAAATAAAAAATAATTTAATTTATGTAAAAATTTTACATTTTTATGTGTACTATAAACAACAAAAAATAATTAGTTATCCCTTATTGTTGGATTAAAATAAAAACAAATTAAGTTTTTAAAAATGATCTAGCTAATAAACCTTTTCAACTACTATTTTAAAACTTAAAAACAATTTAAAGTAAAGGCTGGAGTTATAAGCTAATCTGATTGTTTTTACTACTGGGCATATCCTAGATACATTTTTTCTTTTGAGCGAATATAATAATATTAATTTAATCAAAAATACTGGTTTAAACATTACCATAAACCAGTAATTTTATTAATTAAATAAAAATTATCAGTTTTACATCTTTCTATTTCCCAAACTTAACATGCTACAGAAGTTTGATGTGAAAGAGGGCCATCACCCCCTCTTTCACATGCTAAGGAATCATAAAGAACTTTTGGTTCAACCTATGATGGATGGAACTGGTATTATGATCGGCTTGCACCAGAGACTAGACACTTGCAATAAGAAATTAATCACAAAAATCTTGTTGGCACCCTGGGGATTGAACTAAAGACCCTATCGCCAAAAATTACGTTTCTACCTACTAGGACAAGTTGATTTCTATTTTATTGATTATATCAATTTAAAAATTATATTTAAGCTAAATAAGTATGATGCTATTTATAAACTCAAATTAATATCATTTTAAAAGGCAGAATAACTAAAATATTCAAAAATATTATCCTTATTTATAAAAAAAAATTATTTTACTTACATTGATTGTCCATTTAATTAGTTTCTTTGTTATGGTATTGTGTTCTTCTACAAATTCAGCCAAAAAATAAAGACCTGCGCCTAAAATTAGGCGTGATAAAGAAATAATAATAAAACTAAAAATTAATAACTATAAAGTAATAAACATAATAAATTATATATATGTATTATAATAAAAGATTTAGTCAACAGAAAATTTCTTTCAAATTATACTATTTTTTTTTAATTTAATCAAAAGAACTGCTTTAACTTTGAATTATTATTGTATATCTTATTGTACTTATAAAGGTACTTTCGAAAAATATTAAAATTATTACAGTATCATAAAATATTAAAATTGTTACTTACCAATAAAAACTGATATTAAAGCTATTTGAGTTACAGTAGCTAAAATAGTAACTATTAACATGAAAACCATTTCTTTATAAAAAATTGTTTTTCATAGGTATTTATTTGGCCTAAGTTGTGTATTACTTTATCCAATTAAACACTTATTATATATTTAATATTTTCTAATTTTAATACATAAATTATCTTAAGAGCTTATTTAAATTAACTAGAAATCATATCTCTACTAAATAATTTTTAAAAATAAATAATGATTTTCATTAAAATTTTATCATAATTTATTCTGTTTACTAAAATAAACCTTGATTAAAATTACTTAATTCATCTACTAATTAATACCTGATAATAAATGTGTTTAACTATCTCTTGGTATCAATAATATAGTTACAACAGAATAATAGTGTTTAAGATATTTGAAAATATATTTTTTTCATGATCTCATATAATTATTCATTAAATTTTAGATATTTTTATAGAGAGACAAGGGTATATGCTATACTATTACATTCCAATACGTTGGTGAATTTTGCGTATAACATATAAATATACAAGTTAGTTGTACTGATAACATTAAGACTCATAAGATGAGAGATTTATTGAGAAAACACCTTTGCCACGAACTGATAATGAACTAGTAATCAGAGAATTTTTGACAATGTCGGAACATTATCAGTTCGTGGCAATCACCGTATTTATAGATGTATTTATCAAATGTGAAAAACACGTGATGAAATATAATTTTTAAAAAATGATAACGATTATTAGTTATATATTTTAATATATTTTACTAATGGCATAAATTTCAATAAATAGTATCCATAAACTATACAGTTATCTGATTTAAAACTGTATAACTTGTTCAACAATTCCCGGCTTTTTCAATTTTATGTTTAAAAATTGGCTCAATAAAGTAACACAATTTAAAATATATTATTTTATTAAACTTATGTTTTTGATAGTTTTTAGATTTTTCATATTTTAATTTAAAATCTGTAGTATGGAAGGAGAATATCAAATTGGTGCTCTCTGTGAATTTATTGCAGCAAAATCAGGTAAATTTAAATTATTTCACTTTATTTTATATGTTAAAAATGAATAAAAAAAATTTTAAATTAAAATATTTTTTGTTATGAAATTTAATTTTGAGCTTAGCAAATAAAAACTAACCGAATTTTTTTTATGCTAAAAATTTATTTGACTAAATATAAACATGTATAATAAAAAATAATTTGAAGTTTATCTTTTTAATTTAATTTGTAATTAAAAATTATACATTGATAAATTTAAATAATTTTTGTTTCTATTTGTAAACTTTTAATTTTTATTAATTTGTGGAATATTGTATAAATTTAATATTATGTGAAATATTTTAAATATGTAGTAGATCATAAGTTTAAATAAATAATTTGCTAATTTTTATTTTAATTCATTAAAAAATATATTAATTTTGCATTTTTTTTCTAGTTAATAAAAAAACGAGAAATGTTACTGCTGACTCCAACAATATAGATTCATCATGTAATAAAGAAATAGAGAATGAAAAAAAACGTAAGTCCAAAAAGTCATCATCTATTAATATAAAGAAACTTAAAAAAAACAAAGAAATTCCAATTGAACAACAAAGTAGTTCTTTAAATATTAAGCAAGATCTTCCTCTTATTGAACCATCAGAAAATCCACAGAAAAATGTTTCAAATAATTTATTAATAAACATAAGAAAGAAAAAGAAATTAGACAAAATTAAAAAAACGTAAGTTTAATAATAACAAGTTACTACTAAGGTGTTTACAATAATCAGTAAACTTCTAAATCAGTAAAAATAATTTTTGAAAGTTGTATTGTTTTTTTTACTAATGATTCCATATTTTATAGAAATATCTAAAAAAAAGTTAAAATTGTTTAAAAATAAATTGATATACAATATAGTCTTATTAAAATAAAAGTAAAATATTTATATAATAGGGTCAAGTGGGGTAAATGGAAATGAAATTTACATGTTTTACAACTTTTATTAGATTCATGTAGTAATAATTTTTTTTAATTTTGGTTTAGATAAAAACTATTTAACTATATACAATGTGTGTCTAACATTTCAATCAAACGTTAAAATAATTGATTATTTTAAGAGAAAAAAATAATATAAAATTTCATAAAAAATTTACATTTGCCCCATACTTCTGGGGTAAATGAAAATAACTATTTCCAACAGCAAGTGTTATATTGAACAATCATAATGGGCAAATGAAATTGTTCTGTTACAGCTATCATTATATTATTTCATGTATTCGATACCTACAAATTTCCATTTGTCCCAAATAGTATATTGTGTATGGGGTAAATGAAAATTAAAGTATAGTTGATAATGTTATAAGCCTGGGGCAAATGAAAATTTGTTTGAATTACATAAATTACAATTAAATTAGTCAAATAATTAGGTAATCTTTATTATTTTAACATAATTTAGTACAGTTTAATGCTTACTTACTATTTCATAAACTTTCAAAATATATTAACAGTCTTTTGTTTTCATATAATAGTGATAATAATAATTTAACATAAAAAATAACAATGTAAAGTAAAAATTATAAACAAAATAACAAACTAACAGAATTTTTATTTTCAAAATATATCACATAAATTAATGTATGAATAAGTATGTAACATAGTGCCTAAACTGATTATTTTTCATCGACATTTATGTATCCAGGAAATGTGTATATCATTTTTCTGTTCTTCTTATGTTCAGTTGGTATTGGTAATATTGCAAGAATCATCTCTACTGTAATATCTGACAAGTCATTTTCAACAATATAAAAATCAGTTCCAATTTCATTATTTTTTTTTAATCCTCGGACTAAAATATCCCCATCATCTTCATCTATACGTTTAACTAAACATACATACTTAAAATGTTGTTTCTTACGGTTCCCTCCAATAAAATCTATTAAAAGAAATACTCCAGGTTTTATTTGAGACCAAATTGGTGTATTGTATAAAACTTCTTCAATACTTAAATCTAATGAATTGTCATTATAATCATCTTCTGATGAATGATAAACTACATCATCAATATTATCAATTGATTGTTCCAACACAATATTTTGTACATCTTTAATAGCTTTCTTATGTCTCCCAAGTTTACTAGGATATTTGATTAGCTTTTTCTTTGAGGTTGCTTCCTCCAATTATTTTAACACATTTTTATTTGTTAAAACTTCACCATACTTTGTTACTCTAAGACGAGGAACTTGGTCTTTTGTAACACAAATTGTATTGTTAGTTTTATATTGTATTAATTGAATTGAAAAAATAGATATTATTTCTTTTGGGTTTACTGAGATATTATTACTTGATGTTGGAAAAATTTAGTCCATAAAAGTGTTTGATGTTTAAGGTTCTAATGAAATTTTATTTTTTACAACTGTTAATATGTTTTATTTGATATAATTACGCACTCTGAAGTTGAAAAAAAAATTATAAAGATCGTAATATTTCAAATTATATTTGTTATTAATATTTCCATTTACCCCAATTGATTTTTATTTTGTATTTTACAAAAAATATATAATTCCATAGAAAAAGTGATATTAAACTAGTTTTAGGGCCGTATAGTAAATAAGTAAATATGAAATGACAATTTAGTTCAAACTGTACTGTTCTACTTATATTTTTGATGAAGATGCCCTTCTCAAAAGTCGTTGAGCAGAAAATGTAATCTAAAATAATCATAAACACTTTTTCGAGTGATAACAATTTATACATATCCTCAAATTTTCCATATTTTTATCATTGCACACTATTATACCTTATGTGTACTATGGTTATAATATTACCGAATTCTATAATCACTAATAATTTATTTTAAATAATATTTTTTTCCTTTTGCCCCAATTTCCATTTACCCCACTTGACCCTATATGACTTAATTTTTAAACTATTCTAGCCCAACTGAAATTGTTTATTATTGGAGTTATTGGTAAATAATAATTTTTTTAGAAGTTTATCTGTGAAGATAAGAAGCATTTTTTTCTATTTTCATGAAAGACTTGCTATGTTATCAATTGTATATAATTGCTAATAATAACACAAAATGTTATTAATTAATTATTTTATGTATTCATTTGAAATTAATACATAGAGCATTATAAAGTAGTGTTTAAAACAAAAAAAATCTATGGAAAGTGCTCTTATAAAGTCATGTAAATAAATATAAAATAATGAGATTTAGATGTTGCTTTATTTAAATGACATTCTTAATACCAAATTTCTAAAAATATATACATGTAAAAAAAATATTCGTTTTCTTTTGTGGTTTTAGTTGTACAAAGGAAAGTGAAGACTATATTGAAAAAGAATCTAGGACAATATTTGTTGGAAATGTTCCTGTGAATGTTAAAATGACATCTATTAAAGCACTATTTAAACAATTTGGAGACATAGAAACTACTAGATTAAGGAGTGTAGCAGTTAAAAATCTTAATGTCCCTAAACGAGTATCTATTATGAAAGGTGATTTTCATCCTTTAAGAGATACTGCAAATGTATATATACGATTCAAAACTATTGAACAAGCACAGAAAGCTTTAGTTTTAAATGCAACACAGTTTGATGGTCACAAAATTCGAGTTGATATGGCAATGAATTCAAACCACAAACAGAATAAAAAAAAAGGAATTTTTATTGGAAATTTACCATATAGTTAGTTTAAAAACATACAATATTATTATTAAAGGAAATTTAGTGATATTTAAATTTTAAATGTTTGTAGACATTCAAGAAGATGAAGTGTGGAATTTTTTCAATGACTGTGGTGTTATAACTTCTGTGCGTATAGTTCGAGATAATATGACTGGAGTGAGCAAAGGATTTGGTTATGTAGATTTTGAGGTAAATTATTTAAATTTAAAAATCAAATTTGTTTAATTGATAGATTTAAAAAAAAAATGAGTCTTGGTTTTTACTTTATTTTATTATTTTATATAATATTTTTATAATTTTAACTAAACTTGGTATCAACATTTTTTATAAATCAAACGGTAGTTTTGAAATGTTAATTAAAATTAATTTACATCCATTGATTTGATAAATATATACAGGTGCAAAAGATCTAACTAACAATTTTGTTCTAATATTCATTTTGCTGTAATGTTTTTAAAATAATTTTTGCATTTATAAACTATATTAAAATATTACATATTTTTATTAATAAAAAAAATTTCATAGTAGCCGTTTTTTTAAGTTTTTCTTACAAAATATTTAATAAGTCAATAACAATATTAGGATATATTATTATTGAGTTAAAATTATTTCAATACATAGAGTAGATACATAGTATTCACAGCATGTACTGGTGAATATTTATAAAGTATAGTCCAGTCCATCTATGATACTTACCCACTCTATGTATTAAAAAATACTTGTATTTGTCCTAAAATTTTTATAGGACAATTAATAATTTTTGCAAAAATAGTGTTAAGAAATGGCTATTTTGAAATTTTGAAAAAATAAAAAAAATTATTAATAAAATCCAATAATAATAATGTATATAAATGGTTTTAATGTAGTCTAAAAATTCATAAACTATTTAAAAAAAAAAATACTGAGAAGTAATATGAGTTATCAGTTAGGTCTATTCTACCTTGCATTTATATACACATATATTTTAGACTAAAGAGTCAGTTGAATTAGCTTTACAACTTCAAGGAAACAAACTTCAAAACCGAATAATTCGCATTAAACGAATTGATACACATTCTAATGTGAATAATTCAGCTAAAAATACCAATACTAAACCATCATTTTCTAAAAACTTTAAAACTTCAAATAAAGGTCAATCATTCCAAGGAGAGTCTTTAAAAATAAAATCCAAAAAGGTAACATTTTAAAAATAGTTGAAATTTTTTTTAAGTTATAAGCTATAAACTAAAAAAATTATGTATATAAATTCTTTAACGTCTTTTAAATATAATTATTTACACTAAATATTATAATGGATTATTATCAATATTATATCCAGTTATGTATTAATATATATTAACAGTTTGATAATATATGTATATATTGATTAGTAATAAGATCTATTCCACTAAGTATATAATATATACTTATTGGAATAGATCTTTCAGTTTTTTTTTTCATTTTTGATCACTTTAATTTAATATTTTTACAATATTATATAGAACTCATGTTATATTATTATCTTATTAATAGTACTTTATTATTACAGAAACCAAAACCAACTAAAACCGAATTAATGAGGAGAAAAATTGCCAAGAAGTTAGCTGTCTAATATTAATACTTCGATTATAATGAGTAACATTTTCATAAACTTTATCAATAATTGACCATTAGTATTAATGTTAATAATTTTAGACATTCTGCTGTAAAAAATAAACTAAATTTGTTGACAATTTTAATTACAATTGTGTAACTATTTCTTTGGGTTCTGAATGCCAAATCTGTCCTTCATGCCGATTCAAATTGTTGTACTCTATAATAGCAATATAATGTAAATACCAAATAAGTTGAGTAATAATGTAGTGTATAGTTTTGTCCTAAACTAATAATTGGTTTTTTAGACTAATTTCAAATTAAATTAAATTTTTTTAATTTAATGTAGCATAGGTTTTTTTAAATGATCCATAGAGTATATAACTTGCTTCAATAATGAAACATTATTTATTAAAATTAAAATATTTTGTTACGAAGTATTTTTATCACATTTTTGTCATTTTTATAGAATAATAAAAAATTTTCTTTCAAAATTAATTTTCACAATAAAAAATTTAAATATTTTTAGACATAACTAAGTCAATAATTTAATTTAGATTACAATACTTGAAAAACATTTTACATTATTTTAGTAAATCATTACAAAATGTGCTGCAATATACATGTAAGTAATTTAAAATTTACAGATATCTTAAGAAGGCTAACTATACAAATATAATATTAATTTATACATATATAATAATATAACACCCTCTTTATAAATATATCTTACTTTTATTATATATAAAAAAATTAAGATTTACATCTTTCTAGATGAATAATAATTAGTAAAATACATCTTAAATTTCCTTGAAACTTAAGTTTAGCAGTCATCTAATTATAATAATTAATACGAACAAATTATATATGATTAGTCTTAGAAATATTTCAACAGTATAATCATTCTTTGGCATCACCAATACCATCTGCATTTATTGCAAACATTGCTTCAGACTCAGGCAAGCATGGGGAATCATAAATTTTACAAATTCTTGTTTCACCTCTGCCCTTACGTAAATAAAGTCTTGTAGTAGATGCGTGTGCCATGATATTTCCCCCAACTGGTTTTTTGGGATCAGCAGCAAACATAGATGCACCATCTACTTGTGCCACTACTTGATTAGTTATAACAACAGCAACACCAAACTGAAATAAATATGTCATTGATTACTTATAAAACATTTTAATTATTAAAAACATATTAAAGAATTACTATTCATTCTTTTAACAAAGGTACAAAATATATATATATTTTTTTTAATATAAAAAATAAAGTTTAAATAGAGTTAAAATTAGCTGTTATAAAATACTATTAAAAAAAAAAAGATGTTATTAAAATAAAAATTATATATTACTTCATCAGCAAGACGCAACAACATTCTTAGAAATCTTGCTAGATGATTTTGTCTAGCAGATAATTCTCCCCTACCGGAATAATCAGTTCTATATAAAGCCATTGCACTGTCTACAATCAAAAGTGCATATCTAAAATTACATAAACAATTATACAATGAAAAACCTATAGAAAGATTTCCATAAATAAAATTTTATCAAAATATTCAAAACCTGGATTCAACCATCATGGCGCCAGCTTGCAGTAGTAATCGAGTCTGATGATCAGTATTGTATGCTCTTGCATAAGCAACATTATCAAGTACATCACTTCCAGTTAATTTATAACGTTCAGCTACAGCAAGTAAACGTTGTGGTCGGAAAGTTCCTTCTGTATCAATGTACAAACATTTTCCTTCACCACCATTTTGATCAATAGGAAGCTAAATAATTGCTTTGTTAAAATATATTTACACAATATTTAAGTGAAATTACCTGACAAGTAACAGCTAATGAATGGCATAATTGTGTTTTACCAGTTCTAAACTCGCCAAAAATTTCTGTAATGGATCCAGTTTCAATTCCACCTCCTAACAAACGATCTAACTCTTTGGAACCAGTAGTCAACAAAATAATTTCTGAACGTTTTTGATGAAATTCTGTAGCTGTAGTAAAGCCAATCGGAACCATTTTTGAAGCTTCATCCTAATATAGTTATTAAATAATTATTTAAAATAAACTACACCATTAGAGTTTGAAGTATATTACCAAAATTTTATCAGCTTTTGCCTCACTTATTCCTTTGATAGTAATAAGATGTCTTTTAGTAGCAAATGCAATAGATTCCATAGTATGATAACCAGCTTCTTGAAGTTTTTTAATATCTCCACTAGTAATTCCTTGTCCCTTTTACCAACAGAAAAGAATTAATTTAATTTTAGAGTGCAGACTTGAATTATATTAATATAATGTAAATTCTAGTATTCAAAATAAAAATTAAAAAAAAATTCTAGAATCTATAAATCTTACATAAACATTTTATTTTTCTTATAAATTATGTATGTAATTGATTTTGAATGATTAATGAACAAACTGAATATCTGACACATTAAAAAAAAATTACTAAAATGAGTTTTAATAATACAATAACAAGTAAATTTTTTTACTTAAGTAAATAAATAGATTAGTACACTAAGAAAAACGTTTTATACTTTTTAAAAAATTGATCATTCTCATTAAAGAACTTTTAACTTACTTCTAATTTTGATATTGGTTGAGGTCCATATTCTTCATTATCTTCTTCAACAGCTTCAACTATACAAGTTGATTTGGCTGATTGCATAGCCATTTTTTATTATTAGCTAAATATAAATATAAATATAAATTTATTAATAAAGGAAATATTAATATGAGTATATTACATGTTAAAATATCATTGATTTACATATAAAAAATATATATCAGCATTGAAATGTCATACAATCAGATATTTAAAAAAACTATAACTTTTATACAATTAACATTTATTGATTAACATCTATACTATAACAATTATTATTATAAATATTTATTGTTTCACGACAAATTATATAAGCAAAAACATACATAGTATAACACAACAACTATATAATTAACTAATGAGTATATCAATAAAATACTACAAAAATCACCTAATGTGTAACTTTCAGTAAGTTTTCAATAGTAAACACGCAAGTTCATATTATTACTAAATTTAATCACATGTAAAAGATTTATTGTTAACTTTAAAAAATACAGCGCGGGAAATTGTTGATACTTTATTACAACAAAAACGTATCATTCCGTTAATTATACATGAGGATTGGACGGAAAACCAACAACCACATTTTGAATTAACTATTATCAGTTATACAGTTGCTTTTAAATACTCAACCGCCATATAACATTATACCAAAACTTGGTATATGGTATTAAATAATGATAAGCTATTATAAAATAAATGATAAAACACAATTTTTTTTCTTATCAATGATGTCTGCATCAATACTAGACAATAAAATGTATTGGGACATAGAATAATACTCTACAGTATTGGAATTCGTCAACGATATCGATGTCGAATCAAAATATTAATATCGCCGACTTTTTTCCCACGATATCAAATATTTTTTACATATCTGCGATAATAAAAAAAAAAATGTTATAAACAAACTGTTTGAATTTTAGTTACTTTGTTATAAAATATATATTATTTGAAATCAGGACAAAAACAGTTCATAATAATCTTGTTAAAATTGTTTGTATTAAAATATATTGTAAAATATAGAATTGAGATACAGAAGACGTAAAATAATATTTATTGATACAAAATTCTATTCTTAGATTAGATTTTTATTATTATGACATTGTTATAATTCCTATTTTTAACAAAACACAAATAAAGTAAGGTATGAGGATAATTAGAGAAAGAAATTTCAGAATTAGAAGATATACAATAACAACTGATTGAAACTCAATCAAAAATAAAATTGTTGAACCCGAAAATAAAAAAAAATAAAAACTATTAGATGATAGTAATGAAGATAATGATGCATTATTCTTTAAAAGTTAAAATTTTATTTTTAAAAAAAAAAATATTGTTTTCAGTTATGACTTAAAGTAATGAAAAATATAAATAGCACTTATAATCTTTTTTTTTATTATTACTTAAAACCAATTTCTAATGATAGTCATCTAATAATAAGTCTTATAACAAAAAAAACTTATTTCTTTATAATAAAAATTAATTTGAACATATTTAATTATCGTTAAGAGATATAGCTATTATCTATAATTTGAAATTAATATCGTTATCTAATATGATTGGTATACAGTGTGATAATTTTTTCAACCATAGTAATGCAACGGTATTCTTAAAAATAAAAAATAAAAATTGGTGAAAATATTTGAATATTAAACTAAATTTTTAAATGTAATTTTTTTATTCAATATCGATTTACAGCAATATCGGGAACATTTTTTTTTTTTTTGATATTGCGATATATTATTGCTGAAATTCGATACAATCTCGATATCCAAAAAATATATTGTTGATGAACCCTAATATGTAACATTAATGATATATTGTATGAATATATTGCATTAAATCATTAATTTACTGATATTTTACACGGTATCATGCTCTGTATTAAACAGACATTTACTCAGGTCTACCATTTTATCAATCGTCTACCGATGTGTTATTCTATGAAAAATTTTTATCACAGTATAAATAGCAGTGATTGCTATTTTCTAGCCTTAATCAGGAATCTAAATACTAGTGTCGCAACACCAAGTGAAAATATAAAAATCAGATATAAATTAAGGTTGCATCGTTAGTCAGCAGAATTTAGATAAACTTGAATAAATTATGGTAATTTTCTCAAATATATTGTGCATACATTTTCTAAAAAGTTCATGTTACTAAAATTATTGAAATAAAAAGGTATAACAACGAAACATCACTAAAAATTTAACAAAAAAAAAAAATCATAATTCACAACCAGCCCAAAAGAAAAACGCATATTAAAAATTGATCTACGACTTGCTAATCACTATTATGAAGAAAAAAAATGAATCGCATTTAAAAACATCATAGTAACTTTGTTGTAACCAATACTCGATAATATATAACAGAAACAGTGAGTTCACTACTATTTTATAAACGAAAAACAAAGACTGTTTTTGCTACTTTGTAAATCACTGTAAAATGTACTAGTGACTGCCGTTTTTAACAGCACAATCACAGACTATATGAAAATCGTTTATGTAGTCCGTGACAGTACGATCACCTGTCAATATGACAAGCCGTGTTGACACGTATCCCCACTAGCATCACTAAGGGTACAAAGTCGACAAGCACTGAACGGCTAACAATGTTGGTAATATAAATATTAGTCAGTTCGTTACTGGACACTTACGTATATTTCTTAATTTTACACTTACATACCGGAAACCCGGAATAACAATTATTATACAACTGAATTTTCTTTCTTTTAAGTTTTGAAATGTTTAATATTACGCCGGAAATACAGATATTGTATTATTGTATCTAGGCAGATATAAAAACTCATGTCAATCTGTTATTATTATTACGAACAGTTGATTTCGACTTAAAATAAATCATCACGTCTAATTAATATTTTGAATTGGTCAGTCTCAAATTTGGCTCCTCTACAAAAAATTTGAACTGGTCAATGAGAGAATAAAGGTAAGAGACTTTAGTTTTTCCAATTTAGATTTTCGTTAATAATTTTTGGACTCTTAATTTAAAACGGATGAAATCCTCTTACCATTTTTCTACTCAGATAACTATTTTAAATTACTTATTATCAGTGATGACAGCAGTGAATTCACTCGGGTTATTCTCAATTAATCATTAGCAGGATTACATTTAGTGGTAACTCTGGAAAATTATTTGTATAAATAGACTTTAGAGTAATATAATTGAAATCCCATTGTGTATGTTGTTATCGATGTATGTTAGTTATCGTTTAATGATATGACTATAACCTTCGAGCAACGTAATTGAAGAGCTTAGCGTAACAGCCAGAATAGTCCAATTTTATATGGAATTAATTGTTTATTTATTTTGAATAAATATAACTTTTCTGTGTAATTCAGTACAAAATCGAATTCTATATTCCTATTATTCGTAGTGATATTAAATTTTTAAAAAACATTTTACCATTGCTTTTAATAAAAACAAATATAGTAAATATGCTTTTCCTAAAGAATTAAAAAAATAGATTAGTCTGTTTGTTGCACCAAGTCTTTCAATTAAAAAAATTGTCCGCTTCGTAATCTCCTGGCAGATGATAGTGTAGTAAATTTTTTATGTAGTATACAATATTTTCTAAGACCTCGTCGTGTCCAGTCCATTTCATCTTAATTCGTGACACGAATTAAGAAAAAATGAACTATTAGTTCAAATTTCATCAATTACCACAATCGTGATCATGATAAGTATTCAACTATTTGAAAAGTCGTATTATCGAAAGAATAATTCATTTCGGTGTAGACTACAAACTGTATTTTTATCTAATAGCGATGGCACAGATTATTTTTGACTATCGTGGTGCAAATTACATATCTTTGTTTTAGTTGGGGGCGTCAACTTGGGCACTTGTACCAATTTAAATGTTCAATGCATGCCGGGGCCGGTTGACCTTATATTCATACTAGGCCGAACCATACTGGCTTATGTAAATGTAATCTATAAAACATAGAAAAAATCCAAATTTTATTTGATAAGAAAAATACTTTTTCTTTGACAAAATGCTAAATTGCACAATTTTAGAATCATTGTGTTATAACTTATAATTACTTATAACTTATAAGCAATTGTATACAGAGCAATCACTTATCATCATTGTATAGAGTACGTTATGACACATTTTACAAGTTATTTTATATGTGTTTGTTTTTTATTTATATAAAACTCTATTTTTTGAACTAGCGTGCGTAAACATTAAAAAGATTACATTTTATTTACGTTGAAATTGTAAAATGAGAAGTCATATTTTGAAAAAGTTTTTTTTTATATAAAATGTATTCAGGGGGATCAATTGCGAGCGGATTTGTGAAATGATGGCTGATCAACAATTTGCCCCTGTCTAGTAAAATATTTTGTACATACGTATTATACTTTTTATAAGCCAGTTAAATATGTATGTACTCTTAAAAATAAAAGTTGATTCTTCTATAACGTATTTGAGGTGAATCAAAAAAATACTTTATAGTGGTTAAATCAACTATTCATTTAAATATTATATTTATATTATTATAATATTATTATTATATTTAATATTATATTTATTTAAATAGAACTTTGCTCATAATGTGCTATATGAATCAAGCTCCACGGCACATTTCATGTCTGAGACTTAAAAATATAATCCATTAATAATGTATATAGGCCTGATAACCGAGTCCGTAGCAATTATAATATTTTGTGACGTTATCTTGTTCTAATTTCCAGCATGGCCGACAAAACTTCACGCGGTATAACCAAAAAACAAGAAGAGCGTGTACGCCAAATTCTCTGTCAGTTGGCGAAGGAGTTGGGTATGGAGCTCTCCACGGTCCCATCGTTTTTACAATCACCCCAAGCTGCCCGGAACGCGTCGCTTGTGCAGATCCTTCGGAATCCAGCGGCCAGTGTGTTATACAATAGAGGCATGCAGAATGGTCGCACTGAGATACTCCAAGAAACAAAGAGAGCCATTAATTCCATCTCTGTATTTCCCCAACGAGTGCCGCAACAGAAAATACCATCTCTGCTTTCGTTTACTGCATTTGGTTTGGCGCATACTAATTTAAACGCACTGGAACGTCAAACGGTTATCCAAAATAATAGGACCGCTAGCACGAGCAGCTCAAGAATCATGCAACATAAAACTGCCGGCATTAAAAGACAGACTCCCTCTGCCATACGTCGGAAAGAGAGAAAATGGCAAGAGTTTTTGGCAAAGAAATTCAAGACGCAAATGCAACCAAACGCGATCGCGAATGCTTCAACAAAGACTGAGAGGAGTCAAGATCCATCGACAGAAGGAATACAGGCCATCACTTTGCCACTATCTACCCCGCTGACAACGAAACCACAGCTAATCCCGTTACCACCGGTAATAGAGAAAGTCGTCGAGCAGTCAACTTCATACCAGCCATCAGTCCAAAATGACGTGCCAACAACAATAAAAATTGAGGAAGTGACTGTAGAGAAACTAAACCACAATTTAGAGGAGTTATATTCTTGTCCAACTTTATACCAGCCATCAGTCCAAAATGACGCGCCAACAACAATTAAAATTGAAGAAGTGACTGTAGAGAAACTAAACCACAATTTAGAGGAGTTATATTCTTGTCCAACTTTATACCAGCCATCAGTCCAAAATGACGTGCCAACAGTAATAAAAATTGAGGAAGTGACTGTAGAGGAACTAAACCACAATTTAGAGGAGTTCTATTCTTGTCCAACTTCAAGCCACCCATCAGTCCAAAATGACGCGCCAACAACAATTAAAATTGAAGAAGTGACTGTAGAGAAACTAAACCACAATTTAGAGGAGTTATATTCTTGTCCAACTTTATACCAGCCATCAGTCCAAAATGACGTGCCAACAGTAATAAAAATTGAGGAAGTGACTGTAGAGGAACTAAACCACAATTTAGAGGAGTTCTATTCTTGTCCAACTTCAAGCCACCCATCAGTCCAAAATGACGCGCCAACAACAATAAAAATTGAGGAAGTGAAAGTAGAGGATCTAAACCACAATTTAGAGGAGTTCCATTCTTGTCCAACTTCACTTTTCGCGCCAAGGCCTCCTCATTAACTTTATAAACCTCTTCCGTAATATACAAAGGGTAGATAATATCCTCATAAGTATCTTCTCACTAAGGTCCGTTCACATCTAATAAGTACATTTGAACTGTGTCGACTACATTTCCTGTTTACTTGTGCCACGTTCCTGTAGTGGACCAACAACGTCCCAGGTGAACTCCTGGTTTGTCCCATGAGTACAGTCACTACCACGGTTTTTGATCATTTTCTTAATTAGATAATTATCTAATAACATTTATTAGATAATAGCTTCTTTAATAGACTAGTGAATTATGTCGACATTTAAAAAAATAAAGTTTACACTCTTATTAAATATATAATATGATTTTTAAATTTTAGTACACTTTGTAATATAAGTGGCAAAAATAAAAAAACCACCCTTACAGTCGAATTTTCAACCCTTTAATGGGTGGTACATGTTATAGTCATTCAATTTTAATAACGTCAATTCAAAAACCAAATTTTGTACAGTTTATTTTTTCACCTAATATAACAATTCTAGGTTGTGTATTAAATGATTTTTTTTACAAAAAAATTAACCTATAGAGTTAAGAATCGCCCTAATATATTCTCTCTATAATTTATATCTACAATATCTATAAATTGACCTTTTTTATTTTAAGAAAAATATATAGAACTCAATGTTTTTCGTAAAAAAATGCCATTAACAATAAAACTGTATCTATATTAATTTGGCAAAAAATTAAAAAAAAAACATATTTTTATCATAACCGTTGAAAATGATTTTATTCGTTTATTTAAATATTGCAGACGGACTATTCAACCTACCAAAGCTGCTCTTTCTAAAAAATTATTCCCGCTACCTCTGACTTATAATAAATATCAATGTCATAATTAAAATTACAATTAATTAACTAGGGACAAAATAATCAAACTTTTTTTTTTATATAATTTTTACCGTAAAAATTTCATTACTACATTATTGAATATAATATTAATATAATATAATATTCATACTAAATTTAATTTCTATATGTATTTATATTATATTTATAAATCGTTAAACTAGTAAATAAGATATAATTAAAAGAATGTAAGTTGATATTAATTCGGAATAATCATATAATTTCTTCTAAAAATTAATAATCATCTCCTAATTTTATGATTATTTTATCTATTCGTTCTACGTTTTATTTTATTTATTTATTTTTAGAGATTTTTAAATGTAACCTAATAATGGCCTAGTGTCGAAACTAGTAGTTGTCTTTTTCAATTTTATAATACTCCAGACAGTATTTAAATTAAATTTTATTATATACATATTATTTACAATATTTCAGTATTACATTAATTATTTATAAACATTTTTATCAGAACTTAAAATTAAAGGGACACATTAAGACTCTTAACCTTTGGTTTATTAGCATCGGCTTTTAGATTAAATTTGAAATGTTTGTAATTTCATCGATGAATGAAATGTTAATATGGTATAAAAATGTGGTCTTTCTGTATTTTTTCATTTTTCAAACTTATTTTTCAGGATAATTCATTTATCACGAAGCATTTAATTAATCAAAAAATAAAAATAATATTAATAATTTTATTTATTTGTTTGCTGACTGTAATCTTCCTCTCACTTATATGTATATATATGTCATTAACATCCGAAATAGTGATGCAAAAGTCGTTATCGACCAGTCATTTTCTTAATTATATTATTATCTATTAAATAAGCTAAATAATTAGGGATGTTGTCATTTGAGAAATTAAAGTTGACACCTGTATAAGATATAAAGGATGATCATAAAAAAAACTAAATGATTGGAAAATTGAGAATAACATTAAATTAAAAGAAACAAATAAAAAATGATCAAATTTATTTTTATTTTTCGATTAATAAAATGGTTTCTGACAAGTGAATTAGCCTGTATATATAAACTTACATTTGAGGTGTTTATCCTAAGGGTATATCTTAAAAATTTGTCTGTTAAGGCTACAGACAATCCAATTCAAAAGTTAGAAACAGACGAGGAACTTCCCTACCACACTGCTTTATCTCCTCCTTATACCTACAAAAAATTTAGTTTCTATGATTGTTTTTATGAAGACTAAAGTTCATACGGTTCTCATGCAATCTACACTAATAATGACCCCTTGTCAAAATATCCAAGATCCGCTACCGCAAGAGATCATTTGAGGATGGCAGGGGTGGATTCACACTAATTTTTTTTAAAAACTCCTTATTTATCCTGCCAAATACAAGCGACTCGTCAGTTTACTTATATTATTAAAATTAATTTTGAAATCGAGTCAATATTTCTTTTAAATTTTTTAATGTTAATATTTCAAAAACTTCAATATGTTTTGACAATCATTGAAATAATTAACAGTAACATCTGATTTATAATCTATACCACATTTTACAATGTTTTCGAACAATTATAAATACAAATTATAATGATGGGGCACAGGCTAATAGTCCAAATAACATTAGTGGTTACTCAGCAGTTCTCATTACTAGCTACCGATTAGGGAAAAAAGATCTACCGAGATTCTTGAATATTTTCAAACCTAATCTGGGACGCCTCAATGACCTTTTTGTTATATCTCTTTAAAATTGATTTCATGTTTACGGAAGGGATGCAAATCTCAAATTATCTATAGAAGCAATAAAATAGAAATATTTAGACAATAATTTAAATATTTTAACTTTTAAAACTTTCACTTTTGTTTCTAACAAAAAACATGTTAATAATTTTATGTTTATAACATAAAAAATACAAACAAATATAAGTAAAATTAAAAAAAAAAATTGGTTTACCTATGTTTGTTAATTTTAGTTATTTAGGATTTGAGTCAGCTTTTTTTTTTTTAAAGTTCTCTCTCGCCGCCTTTTTTTTATCACCAATTTTATAATTGTAATTAATTCAAAATTATTTAATAATTTAATGAACTCAACGTAGAAAGTAAACTAACCCACCAATATTAATAATGTAACGTGCGATGTAAATTGTTATCGCCACATATCCACTTAAACATTTTCTTATACGTCTGCCAAACCTAATGCTTTTGAATATTCATAAATAAACTGTACTCATAATAGGTACAGTTTAATTTGTGTGAGCTAGCTTGCACCAGAGACTAGACATCATCAATGAGAAAATCACAAGAAAGTCTCGTTGATATTCTGGGGATCGAACCCGAGACCCCGTGCGCCAAAACATATGTTTCTACCACTAGGCCCCTTAACACAAATATTGAACTAATTATAATAATTCATACGTCATAATCATAATTAATATATAAAATTAAAAATTATCTAATTAAGAAAATGACTTTAGAATCGTACTTAGAATGTTTTTCTAATTTTTATACCCAGACAAAGAGTACGACTGGGAAATGTCAAGTGATAAAAGTAGCAGCATCACTTCTCTCATCTAGTCATTACTTTAAATATTGATAATTACCATCATTCATAGTATCAGTTCGATGATCGATAATTTGGTATCGGTTGATCAAGAACTAAATATTATTGAAATATATTCGTTTCAGTCGATAGATTTTGAAGAAAAAAAACCAGATAAATCGATAGTTTTAGACTATTAGTTAGGTAGTATTCCCTCTGTAGTGCCCATCACTAGAAATCAATACAATTCTACTGTAATAAGATGCATTATTCTAAATTTTTCTATAATAATTATTTTGAATATTGTTTAATAAATTGCCCGCGTTCAAATTTTAGTTACTAAATTGGTTTTTTTTTTTTTTTTAGAACAGCAATATGTTATTTTTAAATAATTAAACGGTTAATAGTTTAGTTAAAATTAATTAATCAATTATTTTTGCAGATATTTAAGTCATTTTAATAACATAACTAATAATTTTTTTATCAATTATAATGAATATCCATATTTTAAATTTATTATAATTTTATTTTAACAAATAAAATAGCATGAAGATTAGGGTGGCCCTCAAAAATCGAATGTCTTTTTTTTTTTACGCTACCCCTTAATTTTCTTTTAATAGTCAAAAAAATGAGCTGAGCAAAATTTGGGACTGATCCATAAAGGTTAACCCGTGCCTCCGGGCCTATTAAGTTGAGTCGAAGAGTCAAATTTAATAGAAATAACTGATCTATGTCTCATAACTTTTTTTTTCTCTTAACTTAGAATTATAAATGTAAAACTCAAGTGAAGGAAATTTTACAAGAAATTCAAAAATAATAACTTTAATATTGTTTTCTCAATAAATAGCTCACAAAAACACTACATACAGTAAAAAACATGTAAAAGTCTTAAAAATATGTTATAACGGATTTTGTTGATTTTTACTTATTTAATTTCATTTTATTCTTTGAAAAACGCATATTCGTTTAAAAAAAGGTTCTAAAAGTTTAATTTTTTATGCCAAATACGATAATTATATTAGATTTATTATTTTATGGACAGTTAATTAATGATTAATTACAAACCTAACAAAATTTATTGTATTATTACATTGTGTCGTATTACTGTATCAATTTTGGTTTACTGAATTGCTTTAAGATAGTTCTAATTGTATTATCATTAAAGATAAATATATTTGTGTTATTTTCATTCGACTGACATAAATTGTGCGGTATAAATGCAGCAGACAGTTTTTGGACAGGTTTAATCATATTTTACCTGTTTATTGTTACAGATTAAATGATAAGTTTTAGTCACAATGGTACACTGTTATTGCTCTTAAAGATGTGTTTTAAAGTATTACGAACTAATATTTATCTTATTGGTAATTAGTCCCACGAAATTACTGGTAGTAAATTATCATCTAATTTAATGAAAACATTGTTTTTTAATTTAAGAGTTGTAAAATTAAGTGTTCGACAAAGTGCGTTGTTAGTTTTACGTGAAGTTATGATTTTTTGGGATAATATAACGTTTGTATGAAGAGTGACGACTTCTACAAAAACACGCTGGTCGAATTACAGTTAGCCACAAAGAAAAAGTAGATGCTTTTACATTAAAGTTTAATAACTTGTTTGATATTGTACATACTGATGCTTTAAGCCTTATAAAAATAGATGAAGATAGACTATTTTTGATAAGTCAAAAATTGTCTATCTATAAAAAATGGCATTTTTTGATAATAAAATAGATGTTAATATTAAAAGAAAAATGGTCGCTCAACTTAATTCAACGTCATGTCAGACATCAAAACGTCTGAAATTAAACGAATCCGATATAGCTGATTTTGTAAAAAAAGATATTGAATATTTAGTATCAAAAGAAACGTTAGATTTTTTTAAACTATTTAATCTGAACATTGATTTTTTGAAAATTGATCCGTCATTTTGGAGTGCGAACAATAGTTACATAAATGCTTTAAATACAATAAGCAAATTACGAGTCGTTAATGATACAGCCGAGCGTGGGATTAAATTAATCGAAGACTTCAACAATATATTAACTACAAATGAAGAGCAGAAACAATACGTTTTACAAATAGTAAGTGATTATCAGAAAAAATTTCCTAATTGTAAAAAAAGTACATTAACAAGAAATATTTTGTAATTTAATATAATTTAATTTTCTACTTTAATTATTGTGTAAAATATTTTGTTTTAAAGCTATTATTATTATACACAAAATAAATTAAAAATTGTGAATAACAAGTAAAATATTTTATAAAAAAAATTATGTTATAATAAAATCAGATTTGTTTTCTAAGATATGATTAACATTCAGATTATACACTTACCGGGAGATCTCAATTAGATATAATTTATTGGTAAAAAAATATTAATCAAAAAACATAACTTATAACTAAAAAATAAATTATTTTCTTTAATCGAAAAATGTAATAATACAATAAATTTTGTTAGGTTTGTAATTAATCATTAATTAACTGTACATAAAATAATAAATCTAATATAATTATCGTATTTGGCATAAAAAATTAAACTTTTAGAACCTTTTTTTAAACGAATATGCGTTTTTCAAAGAATAAAATGAAATTAAATAAGTAAAAATCCGTTATAACATATTTTTAAGACTTTTATATGTTTTTTACTGTATGTAGTGTTTTTGTGGGCTATTTATTGAGAAAACAACATTGAAGTTATTATTTTTGAATTTCTTGTAAAATTTCCTTCACTTGAGTTTTACATTTATAATTCTAAGTTAAGAGAAAAAAAAAGTTATGAGACATAGATCAGTTATTTATATTAAATTTGACTCTTCGACTCAACTTAATAGGCCCGGGGGCACGGGTTAACCTTTATGGATCAGTCCCAAATTTTGCTCAGCTCATTTTTTTGACTATTAAAAGAAAATTAAGGGGTAGCGTAAAAAAAAAAGACATTCGATTTTTGAGGGGCACTCTAATGAAGATATAATCGTCGTTTTATTCTTAATTAAATAATTTTTATTGTAATTATTACATAAATAAATGATTCATTCAATTTTTTCTTAACGGGAAGTAAAGAAAAATTTGTACCATTCCTCTAGTCAAAATAAAATTATATCCAAAAAAGTAATTATTTAAGTAATGAAGGAGAGGGAAGTGGGTGTTCGCTATCCGACCTCATTGTCTCACTATTTTTAAATTTTTTCAAACACCAGAATTTTTTTTTGAAAATACACATGTTACAATCATATACATTGTTTTGACTTCGATTAGACTGTATAAAATTACGAAAAATATGTATTATAAGTCGATTATTATGCTGAGGTTTATTAAATTTATTCGAATTATTTGGCGTACAGTAAGTGTACAGTAGTACGATATCGAGCGAACTGAATGAAAATAGTGGGAATGGTCATGTCACCAATGTTGCCGTATCATAAAAATTCATTGTAAACCGAACATACATTATTGTAATATTAGAGAAATAAGTAGTTGGCAACACCAAATATTATAGATGTAATATTAAAAAATATTTTATGATTATAAAAAAATAATAAATAATCTAAAAATATAATATAATAAAAAAAAATGATTTTAATTATAACAAATAAATAAAATGTGAGTTTAAAGCCTTTTTTAGATACTTGAATAATTCAATTTATGATAATACTGCTAATTTAATTCTATAGTATATGACAAATTTCGTGTTTTCTCTATGTGTCTAACGCCTAACATTAATATGAATTCCTATTAGATAAATTAAATCTTAACTTTAAATTTGTTTAATGTATTCTTAATACCTCTTCAAATAGGTTCTCAGCTATTGTCATGTCGGTATATAATTTTACTGGTACGTATATTGACAATTATTTATTAATTTATACTAACATAAGCTAAGATACGATAATATCTTCTAGTTTTCAATATTTTGAGACTTTAAATCGTAACTGTGAAGGCAAATATTGTTAGTGCTAGTGTTATGAAAGGGTACAGGGGACATTGCGTAAGACCTTTCACTTTTTTATAGCATTACCGCAGCTAATATTCTGAGGGCGTATGTACGGATAGTACCCCATCCTCCCCTCGCCTTAAATTTATGATTACCTGACCCCCCCCCTAATAATATATCCGGAGCTCGTATACTTTGCACGCCGGTTCCATGTTTAATTTAACCTGCACTTCATAAATTATAATTTCGACATTGTAAGTTATAAATATTTTGAGGCTCGTATAAGATTCATTATTAACAGTTTAAATAATCCTAAAGAATAATACTTCAAAGAAGTAATTAAACTTACATGATAAAACATTTTACAATTCACCTAACATAAACATAAAAAAATCTTCAGAAATTAAAACTAAAATTAACATTATATCACAACAGTTAATAATCATTAACAATTAAAATCATGTTTCAGAGTAATACAAACATTTTATTAGAAAACATTTCGTGACATAAAATAAAATCAACATAAATTATAATTTGAAAAAACCCAAGAAAAAAAATAATAAAAATTTTAGTTATTATTATAAAATGGAACGTACAATAATACATAATATTATATTGTATAATATTCTTTTCGAAATAAAATTTCGTATCACAATTAAGATAATATTATGATCTTAATTATCCAAATAAAATGAATTAATTTTTATTAATTGCAGCTAAGACGTTCCGGTAAGTTCTTTTTTTTGTGAGATATATCACTATTATCTTTATACAGGGTGTTCAGTAAGAAAATGGGTTTCTTTTGTTCACATTGTTCGAAACGATTGACCTGTTTCCTTACTTATTGAACATGTGTATATTGTTATTATAAAACCCTTTTTTTCATATAATTTAATAAATATTTTGTTGGAGGCTATTGTTCTATGATATTCTTCTTTGCCTCTCTACGCATGTTGTTTACAAGGCAATAATGTATATAAAGATAAACATAATTTAGTAGCAAATCGATCACCAAATATTTTGTTCGATGTCAATATAAGTATTTAATCAAACTAAGTTTGTTTTTCAGACTGTGATTTGGAATTTAGGAAAGATGTTAGAGAGAAGATCGATAGTTTTATATCAATACCAAACAATTCATTTTTTGAAAAGAACTTGAAAACGCCAGATGTCGTTCCATTAAACTCAACTTTGGAAGACCATAACGTTTCGTTACCTGAAGAACCACCTACAGTTATTATAAATATTCCTTATAAATCTCGGATAGTGTCAAAAACTAAAGTTAAGCCTAGTAAAAGTAATGACAACTCGAAGCCTGTTCGAAAAAAAAATAACAAATCGAAAAATCTTTCTCGCGGTATTACTAACAAAAATGTAAACATTGACATAGGTCTAGAATATGATATAAGTAAAGATAACTTGATGGTTGAACTAAAATACGGTACCTTGGTTCCGGCGTTCTTAACAAACGTGAGTCCCAAAAGCACAAAAAGACTTTGCTTATGTGGCGTAACAAACTCTGAAATCCCTACTTCTTGGACAGAGTCTTTTCATAACAATTTACATAAAAATATTTATAAGTTACGTTTTACAGGAGATGTTCACGAGGTTGATCTTCGAACAATTAAAGAAAATGATTTATCCTACTTCATTTTCAGTATCAATAACAATGTAAAAGATGAAAAACTTTTAACTACTTTGAAGAACATAAAAGATTACGTGAATTTGGAACATGGAATTGTAGAAAAAAATGTTCTTATATCCTCACGTGTTACATATTTAGCCGTATTACCTTGCCTTAAAGTAATTGGTTACTTGGAGGTTGAGCCATTAAAAACAGCTACAGTCAAATTTAGTGTACACACAATTTGGGTAGCTATTAGTTATAAAAAGAAAAATGTAAAGACAAATTTGTTAAATAACTTACTTTAATAAAAATTCATATTCATTTTTTATTTATCATTATTCTTTACATAAGAAATGCGAGGCATATGAATTTTCACAATTATACAAAACTGTAGCTAATTTGTGAATTAAGGTATCTGTAGGGTATTTAAAAACTTAACTATAGTCTTTAGGTCAGAGTAGAATATGACACATTCCTAAAGATTCGACCCGGATAAAGACATTAAAATAGGAAATACAAATTTATAGATGAAATAAAATTCATTTTATTTTCTAAAATAATTAACCTTAAATAAATAATTATATGGATTATATAATATTAATAATTTAAATTAATTGGAGTACCGGAGTATCAAAGGTTAAGAAACTTCCTCCTTTGGGAAAGGCCGTTATGGCCTTAATGGGCTTGGAAAAAAAATTTTAAGTTTAAGATATTTTTTTTTTTCATAAAAAGCTTTTGCCTTGGCGATGTCAATAAATAAGATGTTACGTTAGTATATTAGCTTGTAATGGACGCATGTACAGTGATGGGTTGCAGGAATATTCCCAGTGAGAATAAATTTTTAAGTGGATATCTATAGGGTATATATCCGAAATATATATTCCTGTTTGAATTTCAGAATTAATTATTGTTTGTATTTAGGTAGCCCTTATTTTGAAATTCCCAGAACATTTTCAAAAGTTAAATTGTAAAGGCTCTACTTTTTATACAAATTTTCAAGTTTTTAAAAATTCAAAAAACATTTTCTTAATTTTGAAAGGCAAAATAAGTATAAACTTATATTTAATGTATGTTAGATTCATGTAAATTTTATATTTATTGGTGGACTTATTACTATGGCAAACCTTTATAAGGTATTTTAAAATAAATAATATTTGAACACAAAAATAGCATATTTTTTAATTACGGCAGCCATTTGCATAAAGAAGATAGGTCGTCCGGATAATTTTTTTTTTTTAATTTATAGTACGTAACATAAGATTTAATTAGACATGTGTTAAAGGACGCAGTATTTCCGGAACATTTTCAAAAGTTAAGTTGAAGAAGTTCTATTTTTTATACAATGTTTCAAGTTTTGAACGCCCCCTATATATTACCGATTTTAAAAATTGTAATGTTTTGGGGAATTTTCACCATTTACAGAGAACGAAAGAAAAATGCTTAATTTTTGAGGGTAATGTCTTCAACTAGATACGATTTGTGATCTTTTGAGCAAAGTCGGTCCAGTGAGAGCTGAGAAAAAGTTGTGACAAACAGAATAAAAAATAAAAGCATAATGGTAAAATATCTTAATACCTTCTCAGCTTCGCATCAAAGCTAACATACATATACATTTTTAGTAATGACATATTTATCACATATGAAAACCCTGTTAAAATAATATTTTTATCTGAAGGTTTTTAAGAAGCTTTTTGTAATATTTTTTTGAAAATACCCATTATTCGAATAATGTATAAATTCTGGAATAGTCATTGGGGGGGGTTTTCTAAGGTATTAAATACTCTGAAGTATTTTCCCATCACCACGAGTGCGTGTAAGCGATCATGTGTTTTGACACATTTATTGTCCACATTGGCATATCTAGGTGAGGATTTTACCCTCTTAAGCTTAAAATTAACAGGCTTTGACGTCATGATTTCTGGAACTTATTAAATTTTATAAATTGCTACTTTTTTATAATGGTTAATTTATATATTGAGGCATCTTTAGTAATACAAACATTAAATAGACATTGTCTTGCTAAAATTTTACTTCAAATAACGTGTTTCATGACAAACCTGATTTTTAGGTGACCTATTTTTATGTTTACACAAAAAAAATATAAATTCTTGAAGTTTTCTACTCTGTTAGTAAAGGCAGACTATCATTTGCTGAAAAAAAACTAAGGACGTCCATTTTTTGTTCAACGTAATTAGAACTTTTTGTGATACTAAATGGGTCTCTAAAAATGGTGAGACTTTAGCCTTTGTAGGTTAAAATTCCTAGTTACATCCATTATCCAACGAACATAGTTAAACTACCAAAAATTTTATATTACGCTGATAACGAATGTGCAAAAATAAAATGTCAGTCAAAAATAATAGTTTAAGTTACAGTAAAAAGCATATAACTGTGTTATCAGGCCGCGAAAACTCCTCCAATATTCTTTCGAATGTAGGTTTTTGTCGACGATTTATTAAAAGAAAGTGCTCAAATTGAGAGTATCTATATTTAAGATTGTAGATTTGAAAGTCTCTACTTGTCTTTGTCTGCAAGTTAAATTTTTCATTATGTGCGTTTTGTAAACAAATTATTTAGAACTAATTTTAGGGTCATAAACGCTTGTTGGTTCCAGTGACCAGTGACTTAATTCCATCGAAATTCTCATGGGATAGGGGCCACATCCCCAAATCTCCAGAGGAAAGAAATTCTAGTTCAATTCCAACCTAGTTAAACCCGTTTCATTGAAAGGTACAGTACCGAACAAGTCAGATCCAACACATGAAATGACATATTGGCCATTATATATGATGGCATTACATACTTATGGCTTTTGCTTTTCACGAACAAAACTATAATTAAGCAGTTTCTCCATTAATACCAATCTAATAAGCGATAAGATATCTCGTTATAATGTAGAACAAAACACTATTTTAAAGTAAATAATATTATATTAATTTTGGAGATAATATTAATAGCAAAATTAGAAATCTATTTCATTATGGTGTGACCAGTAGAACTGTTTTTTAACTTGCAAGTCTTGTAAATGAGCAGAATAATAGCGTGCGCGCGGTCTAATAACAACGTTTAATGCAAATTTTAAAGTGCTATAACTTTCTAACTATTCTTGCATATTCGTAGTCAGTATAAAAAAAACAAATCGTCTAAGGGCTAAACAGCGCTTATACCGAGAATATATATATTATATATATAAAATTAGTATAATTATTATCTTCAATGATTTTTAATTTAATACTCAGTGTATATAAATAACTTTTATTATATTATTAATAATATAACACCTTTAACAAATTTATTCATAATTTTAATAAATTAATTAGTGATTATGTATAAATTGTATACACAAAGTAGAAAAAATAAATAACAAACTGAAATTGAACTTTCAAGTGTTTCCAATATATACTTACTAAGTACAAAAATTAAAGAAATCTGTACAATAAAAACTGTAAATTACAATTTTACCATCAATATTATCTAACATGAAGGTTCAAAAACAATTAACTCAATAATTATAAAAACATGTTCTTATAATTTGTCATGAAAAAAATGTATAATATTAAATTAAAATAATGCTGACCATAAATAACTACAAATACTGTTTGAAATTATAAATATTGTTACAATGAGTGTCAATTGTAAATTAAAATATTTCATACATTAAAAAGTGCTTTAATTATCCTGTGTATAATAAAATAATACATGACCATAATTTTAAAACACTCGAATATCTCATATTATTAAGATAAAAACTGGTAACAATTACTACATGTTTTGACAGTCAACAACTTTAGAAACTAAAATATTAATAATTTAATTTTTAACTTAAAAACAAAAAATAACAATTGATGATTACCTATGCATAGACCCATTCAAAGGTTGCAAATATGATCCATTATATGTTGAAGTAGGATACATTGCATTTTGATGAGGATCTTGAGAATACTGCAACTGTCCAGTTGATTGATTCATATATCCAGCAGCTGCAGGAGGAGGAGTGGATTGAGGAGTGACCCTGTAGCCATTAAAAGGTGGAGGTCCACCGTACTGCATTGGCATAAGGCCCATGTTGGGTGAAGCTGAGGCTACCCGCGATTGGTGGCTATATGATCGCGATTGACCAGTTTGTCCAGCTTGTTGGTATAATTTATGATAAACTGCTGTTTGTTGCAATAAATGTGCAGCAGTTGCAGAAGATACACCTGATGGGGGTGGAGGTGTCATATTAGCAGGCGATGAAGCTGGGGATGGCGCAGGGGAAGATATATGTCTACGATGATGATCTAAACCATTAGTCATTTGTTGTAATTTAGATAAATTACATGATGCAATTTGAGCAGCTGTGGCAGCTGCATGTTGGTTTGGATGTGACAAATAAAAATCTGGAGTAGAACATGATCCTTGTTGACCCATTCGATGCTGAATTACTGGATGATGATATGGATTAGCAGATGCTGATTGTGGCATCATGTATGCAGCTGTTTGATGATGGTGGTGATATGATTGAGTATGACTAGGCAACGGGGGTGTTGGTTGTTGAGAAGATGATGGCACAGAAGAATGATTCTGTTGAGATGCTCTTCTCTGTTCACTTTTTTTACTTCTAGATTTAGTTTGCTGTACAGGGGGTGGTGGCACCTGAGCTGTAGGTAAAGCTGAAGTATGATGATATTGGGTGGAATGAGCCAAATGGTGATGTAAAGATAGATGCATCATGGATTGGTCAGAGTATGGGGATTGTTGCATAACAGATGAATACAGAATACCATTGTCAATAGGTTTTGTTAAGCACATCATATCTTTATCTTTAGGCAAATTTGTATTAACAGAATCTATTTTTTTATCATTAAACATGTCTTTTGATTTTGGAATGTTTGAAATATCACTATGAGACATAGGTATCGAGTTATTAATTTTTGGAAAATTTAGAAACCCCATTGGAGGCAAATATTCAGGTAGTCGTGACTTATCAAATTGAGAAGCTTCTGTAGGCAATCGATATGGCAACGATTTTGGAGGAGTGGTCCTTTTAGATTGTTTTATATGTTTACTGTTTTCATATTTAGGAACAGATATGGTATCAGGAACAATTGGCTGAGAATAATTCTTTTCAGGCGCTTTAAGTTTCAACTGATCGTCTGCTTTAAATGTCCCATGTAATATATTATTAGAAATAGAAGTCACCTGTAAATTTTTACTATACTCTACAGATTCTATTTTATTGTTATATAGTTGTTTATTTGTTTCTATTGGACAAATATCTAACTTTTGATACTCATTTATTACTGTAGTATCTGTGTATTGTTTATTATTCAATTGTACAATATCATTTGTTGGTAATGCTTCACTAAATTGTTTAACATTTGACAACAGAGAATCTGATACCTTGCAATATTCTCTTATATTAGATGACTGATTTATATGTTTATCAGAAGATGGAGATACTTCAGATATTGTAGTTTGGTTTGTTTCAGATTTAGAAAAATTATTACATAACTGAGGTGGATCATTATATAGCTGTATTTCTGTCTGCAATTTATCTTCTTTAGAGCTCTTGGAATTTTCAACATTAAAATTATGAATTTTGTTTTGATTATTAATTTCACCATAATTATTTACTGCAGTTAAATTTTGTTTAACGTTTGATAGAATATTATCAGAAGTATTTGGTTGATTTGAATATTGAATACCATCAGTTTTTTGAGGTAATTTATTAATTTCACAAGGATTAACATCTATGGAATTATTGACCACTTCTTTTTTACTAGATAAATATTCTTCGGATGATCTATCAAATTGTTTTTTAATATCTGGAACAATAGGCTGAATTTCTTCAGTTCTATTAAATAACTCATTTGAGCATTTCACAACATCAATTTTTTCAACCTCTAGTACAGATTCTATACTATTATCAACCAGTAAAGAGGTTTCTTTAGTAGTAGATTCTGTAATTTGCTTAACAATTGAAACAATTTCAGTATTATTAGTTGATACAATTTCAGTATTATTAGTTGATACAATTTTAGTATTATTAGTTAAAACACTAGTAATATTAGTTGAACTATTTTCTGTAATTGGCCTATTTGATTCATCAGATATAACAGGAATTTCAACCTTTTCATTCACTTCCATTTTTTTACTAATTTCATCAACATTATTACCACAGATTTCTAAACAATTAGATTGATTTATAGGTTCTTTAACACCACTTTTAGTATAGTTATCATCCTGACTTTCTTGATCTTTCTTTTCACTGTCATCTTCTTTTTTGTCATTATCATTTTCTGTTTTTTCACATTTTAATTGATCTATATTTGGCTGGTCATCATTTTCTTTCTCAACCTATTAAATCAAAATTAATTTTATTAAAAAAAATTAATTTCACAAAAAATTTGAGGCAGATGTAACGAAAGTTCATTATGCTAAAGAATCAGCTAGTTGAGTAGTAATATCAACATAAACTCAACTAATGAATAAACAATATTATACACAATAGTAATAACTTAATTTAAATTATAAAAATTAAAAATAAAAAGATCTAATGAATCTAAAATTTGCAAATTATTATAAAATAATTTAAATAGTAGCAATTTAAGATATTACCATTTTTTCGGTGGATTCATAATCCGTGTCTGGAGATTTGGGTTCTTCATCATTAAACTTAGCAATTTTAGCTGCTGGGCTTTCTTCCTGTTGATTTTTGGATCTTGGTCTTTTACGAGATCTACCACGGCCTAATTTTCTTTTTTTTTTAAGTGGTTGTAATTTTTTCTCAGTAGAATCTTGCTTGAGGAAATTTGACATTAAACTAAACAAAATTATTAGATAAATTAATTTTGGAAATTTTAAAAATTAGGACTTTAATAGGCTTAACAGCACCAAGAGATTCCATTAATTTTATGATCAAAATGAGTACAAAAAATCTTGAAGTTTAACAATTTTTAATATTTTAAACTTTTATAAAATTTGCATTTAGCATTGTTGGATTAAACAAACAGTATTATATTATATTCATTAGTACCCACCATTCGATTTCCATTAATAATTTCTTAATATGGGTTTTTATTGATCATCCATTGCCTTTAATTAATATTAATTGAATCATTTTTTAACATATGAGCTAGTTAAATAATACTCTATAAAGGATAAGAGATGTAACTAAAAAATATTTAATAGTTTATAAATTGAGATATACATCATAATAATAAACAAAATAAAAAAAAAAATCTCAGAATTATTATTTTAGGAAATTTTAATGTTCAATGATAAATCAATTGCCTTATATTTCAAAAAAATTGTCGAATAGCTTAAGATTCAAAGTAAAAAAATTAAGTATTCATTCAAAATAAAATGAATATTAATCGAATAACATGCTAAAACACTTAGAGTATTCTCTTTTATCTTTTTAATAAATATAAATACCTTTGCTTTGAAGATTTTTTATTTTTGTCCAAATTTTTTGTAATTTCTTTGTTATTACTAAAATGTTTTTTTTCAGATTCATTAACTAACATATCTTGTATTTCTTCTAATGTTTCAGTTTCTGGTTTTACTTTTTCCAGAATATCTTCAGATAAATTTCTTACTAAAATATTTGATGAATTAACATCAGTTAAATCATCATTACATTGAATAAGTTTAGATTTTTTCTCATCAATTAAGGCTTTTCTACGTTTTTTGTCTACTCTTTTCCGCTTTTTTATCATGGGCATTCTTCTAGTAATACGCTTCTTCTTAATAAGTGGACTTTTAACAACTTCGATTTTAATAGGAAGTTCATCAAGATCTTGTAAAGAATCCTTTAATTAAATATAGCAATTAGTTATTTATTATACAATTAATAATTAAAAATTACCTTAATTTCTGGTGATACTAAATTATTAGCAGCAGTCATTAAAGGAGTCCACCTTAAGCAATCAGGATCAATTGTAATATGTTTAGAAGCATGCTTTTTTTTAATGTGATTATCTACCAATTCCCAATTCACACATAAAGCTAATTTATCATTTTCTTCTATAGCCATATTTAATGATTGCAATGTATATGTAATATCATGTCTCATTAAACCTATCATTTAAAAAAATACATATTATAAATTATTCAATTGTAATAAAGATAAATTAAATTAACTTGATTTGTTATGTATTACCCATTTTTACTAAAAAAATAGATTATAACAACCACGATAAATTAAAGCATAATTTTTTTTACTAATATACATTAATTATAATATCATTATTATTCCTAAATATTACCTGTTTTTTTACTTATATCACTAATAGAAATAGTTAAAATATCACGATGATCATTTAAGTATTCTAAAATAACAGATCTCCAATAAGCATGATATGATACTTGACCAAGATCAGACAATGGTTTTTCAGGTGTACCAGGCTGGCCTTCAATTCGTGAAAGTAAATAACCTAATAAAAACTTGAACTTCAAAAACTATTTCTCAGCTTTATTTAATTTAAAAAAAATAATAATAATAAAATTACTGAATTCAATGAGAAATCGTCCAAAGCCTTGTCTTTGATATTGAGGCATTGTTAAAATACAAGATACATTGTATTTTTGTTGACAATGCTTTTCTTTGGAAAAATAACCTACTAAATGGCAACCCTAAAAGTAAAATAAAATATATTATTTACTATCAAATTATATTGTAAAATTATTACTTTTTATTTATTAAAAATATAAATGATTAATAATTAAAATTAAACTTTATCATAATTAAGAGAAATTTTTTTTAAAGGAAAATAAATTGCATAAAGTAAGCTTTCTTGCTTACTTTATAATTTTGTGACTAAACATCTTATTACCACTATAACATATATATATTATACTTACAAGAGCATCATTTTTAGTCAGAACATAAAACAAAAATGGTTCAACATCATAATATAATGTTTTATGATCTAAAAATAGTTTTGCTAATAAACATAAAGTTTGGCAGTAAATTTTGTTAGCATTCCCATCAACCTACAAGTATTAATTTTATTTAAGTATGGTGAATTATTAAACAAAGTTATTTAATTAATATGTTTCACAGTATAACTAAGCTTATAGTATAGTAAACTAACATTATCATAAAATCAACTTGAAATAAGTTAACATTGTGAACACTTCATAATGATGGTATCAGGATAAAAAGACTTAAATAGATAAAAAGCAATAAGATAACTCAACTTGGAATGAACACAGTTTTAGGCCAACAATTATAAATAATTTTTAAGCAATAAAATTGTTTTCAAATACTAATCTATATATATACCCACAAAATGACTTCCCTACATATATTGAAAAATATTTGAATAAATATCCTTTATACCATCAATAAATTTTTAACCTATGATTAAAACACATAAATACCTCAAAAACACTTAGATCATCCTGCCTATAAATTTCTGTAGCTGGAGGATGTCTCCAGTTGCAATTATGCATATGTCTCTCTAAAACAGATTTACTTTTGGTATATTTTAAACAAAATTCGCATAGAAATAACTTTGGAAGCCTAGCATATTCTTGTGGAAATGGAGAAGAAAACCATGTTTCTACTTCATATTTTCCAAATTGAATTGCAGCTGGGCATCGACTTAAACTTCCAGACACTTCAGAAGTTTGAATTGTACTCTATAAAAGTATAAAATACATATAATTTCTTAGATTACAAACAACATAAATAAAAATATTAAGGTGATCCTTAAATTGTAATTTTATTAAATTTTACATTAGATAATGAGGTCAAAATCTCATGGGCACCCTATAGTTATAAATTGAATGTATAATAGTCTTAAGGGATAAAATAAAAATCTAAAAAAAAATTTAAATAAATTATTGAATTTATGACAATAATAAATCATTTTTTATTTGAAGATCACCTTAGTAAATATATTTTAAATGAAATTTAAATACATGTTAACTCTTACATTTAATGCTCTCTTACGAGTTTCTTTGAATATCTCTACATCTTCATGCAGAACACCAGATGGTAAATCTGAAGCTACTAAACAGCTCATATTTTCCAAAACTGAAAATTTTAATGTAATGTCATATTTCATTTTTAAGAATATTTCACGATTTATTAAGCTAGCTTTATATCAGGACTAAGAGCCAGTAAATTGATTACTTTTTTTTAATTAATTAAATTCAAGTTTAACATTCACAAATGTTAAGCAGAATAATGGTATTGTGATTATAGAAAAAAAAATTTTTTAATAAATTCTGTTATATTAATATTTTAATAATTTTTATGTTGTAATTGAAATTAATTTTATTTAGGTACACAATTTTATGGCCAATTAATTTGTAACAAAATACAAATTCAATCATTAAAAGTGGAATATTATTAAATGAATCAATGTGTAATTACTGAAATGCTCTTCTTTCACCAGTTCATTATACTTAATATTTTAAAGCATGCAATTCATATTATGATCGATACAAGCGCTTAAAAATTATGGTAGTATGTTTATGCAGCTGGCAATTACTAACAGGATTTAAGGAACTTGCTTACCCGAACGGGTGACTGGTCGTATTGTCGACACGGATAGACGGTCACGGAAGGCGGAAGAAGGATTTGTTAAGGACTTATCATTTTCATCTAATTTGCAATCACCCCCCCTGTCAGTTATTTGTCTTGCTTCCATCAATTTTGATGTAACTGCTGACTTAACTAAGAAACTAGGAGATTGCTGTTTTTCAACATTTTTAGCTTTTTTTTCCTTTACTGAGTTTTTATTATGCATATTAGTGTCCTTTTCTGTTCGTGGTCTTATACGAGATGGCAATGGTGTTGAATAAAAATGACTTAAGCCATCAAATAAACCTTTTAGCTGAACAAAACCAGCTATTGGTTTATCTTTCTTACTACTAAATTCTTGAGAAACTTTTAATTTTTCTTCAATAGGAGCATTTGCAATTAAAGCAGCAAACCCCCAAGGTTCATTTGAAGTATCTGTCAGCAGTTTTTTAAACAAAGAAAGAGGTTCTTCGGAGTTGTTAGATTTGGAATGCAGCAATGGAAATATTTTAGGTTGAGATGAGTTAACATTAGCAATTAATTTGGGTGCTCTTAAAAGAACTTTAGATAAGGAATTAGAATTGTTATTATTGATTTTATTTTTGCTTTCTTTGATTGGTTTATTCAAAAGTTTATTTTTTTCTTTTTTAATATTACTCTTATTTATTTTATTGAAATGGATAGAATCAGAAGTTGAAGAACCCTTAATAGAAATATTTGAATGAAATTCAATGATTTTGGCATCCCTAGCGGCGAGACTTTTTGGGAGAGGAAATATGGGCCGACTTGGACGCACAGAAAGAGAACAAGCATGCGCACTGCTGCTGCTACTACTACTGCTGCTAGAGCTATTACTGCTATTGCTAGAGCTACTACTCGAGCTACTAGAACTACTATTGCTGCGGCTTCTAGAACTCGTACTTGAGCTACTAGAGGTATTACTACTGCTTGAGCTAAAGCGCTTGTTCGTAGGTTTATTGACTTTCGGCACACCAAATCCTCTCCCGTTCACACCTCGCGCATTAAACGCAGCACTTTGCCTAAAGAATTTAGCTTTCTCTTTAGAGATAGCAGTGTCCCGCCGCATACTGCCACTACTCGGAACGGGAGAGGGGGGAGCCGAGGAGTCAGGAGAGGAGACATTACCGTCTTCCGTGACATCTCGTTGATGCATTGAACTTGAAGCAGATGATATTCCATGACGACGATCTTGCATCTTTTGATAATGATTCTGTCCTCTACTTGATCTAAAAAGATGCAATAATAATAATAATTGAAATAAGATTTTTTCTTAGTTTAGGTAATTAAATTTTATTGATAAAAAGTCAAATAAAACAGTGTTTACTTAGACTGAAGAAGTCTTAATTTTAATTTGATTCCATGTTTTTTAACAAATTTTTAAATGATAAATCAAATAAAACAAGATACTTAATTTAACTATTATCCTTATTTTTATGAGTTCCCTTTTTTTTAAAGAAAATTATTAAAAAGAAAACCTAACAACATTACTAGAATTTAACACAAAAATATAGGAAAAAGTAGATCTAAAATAAAAACATTCCTAAATATTATTTTTACCTTTGTATTTTTAGACTAGATCTTTTTCTTCCTCTTTTTACTGAGACAGGTTCTTCAATTGAAATTTTAGTTATATCATGATGATCAAGGCAAAAAGAACATCTCCAAGCAGATTTTGGCTTATCATCAGCTGAGGGTTGCAAACATTGCATATGATAACCTCTATCACATGTATCACAGTTTAATAAAAATATCTAAAAATAAAATTTATCACAAAAATTTAGAGAAATAAAAATTGACAATTTAATTTAAAATTTACCTGTTCAGTAACTGAACACTTAGGTATGGCTGAACATGCTCTACAGTCTTGACAAAACCACCGAGAACCTCGAGCAAGCAATGCAGTTAAAGGTCCTGTACCTTTAAGAGCCAAACACGAAGGATGTAATGAAACACCACATCCTCCACGACATTGCTTAAGTTCTTCAGCTTCACCACATTGATTTCTCAAAGATGTTCCTAAACAGTCTGCACAAACCATTTGACCAGAAGCCTAAAAAATTTAATTTATTTATTTCAAAACAATTATCAGAGTTAAAAATTTATTTTTTATACTTTTAAAGTATCTTTGTCACTTGTTTCATGATCTGTAAGTGAGCTAGTATCACAAACAGATGTTTTCTTTTTTCTTCTTCCTGCTTTACGAAGAGATACAGGTGATTCAATTTCGCTAGTATCCAATTTAGATAAACGGCTTTTCCTTAATGATCCATACTTAGATATAGGAGCTCCAATCGTAGTTGTAGAATCAGGGCTAACTGGTAATCTATATAGTTTACCATCTAATACTAATAAACCCTTATCCACCGCTTTATTCAAAGTTGTCTTCAGTAATGCCCCTAAATCAAAATCTTGATTTTTTAGTTCTATGGCATATGCATGATGTATATATCGATCAATATTTTTATAAGATGATCCTTCTTCATCTAATTGACCAACAACTTTGACAACTATCTTAGTTAAATCTGTATCAGAGTTAATAATCAGTTTGCGATTTGTGGTACCCCTAGGGTTCATATAAGTATTTTGGCCTTTATTGAATACTTTTAAAACTGCACCACTTTCAACACATCGTTCTACTTGTGTTTCTATGTCATCTACAGGAAAACGGTGATGTTGACGTATCGCATTGATGATACGTTCCAAGGATGGGCGTTGCTTCTGTCCACGGATCTTGTTTACTGCATCCAACACCCATTTTTGCCACTGGGAAAAACTAACAATAGTATTTTCTTTTTCTTTTGCAGATTCTCTCATTTTAACTAAAAAAATGAAATCACATTCTATATTATAGATATTATTATATATTAGATATATCTATATATTATATATTTCAATCTATAAAATCATTGAGATTGTATTTTTATTAAGTATAAACTTATATTATTAAAAAATATTACAAAATGTTTTAACACATGAACAGTTGATTTGATAAAAAAAATATAAAAACAAAATTATTAATAATTTTTTTCTATTATCAACATAAAAATAGGGGTTCAAATTAAAGAAAATTTAAGTTCATGGTTTATATGCCCAGAGGGGTGAAAAAAAAATTATTTTACTATATAATACCATAGAATTTATTGAATCATAATTTTTCTTTGTACAAAAACTCAAAATGTTCAATAATTTCTAATAAAATTAGTGTCTTATCATTAATTAATGACCTAAATATGATGATTATTTACGAGAGAAATTTGTAAAAGAGGGTTAGCCCCAAACCTTACCTTACATAGTCTAAACACATAATAAGTTAGATAACTTTTTAAAAATTCAAGGTTAAATCATATCAATCTCTGGCAAATATACTGGTAATATGTAATGAAACATAAAAAACCCTATAAACTCTAATTCTAAATAATAAAATATATTAAAAAATAATTCTAAGTTTTATTTTCATAATGATAATAAAAGGTTATTTTAATTTAAAGGAATAAAAAAAGTATATTCTAACTTAATCTCACTTTATTAATTATTTTTTGAAAACAAGTCTTATTAAAATCGAATTTAAATATATTGCTAAAATAAATAAAAACTTATCAGTTTAGACACATTTAGTCGAATTTTATAAACATTTACTTTTATGTAGTAACATAGAAAAAACAGCTCTCTGGGATTAACTATCTACTAATGATTCAATTAAATTTTATCAATTATACATAAGATCTTTCATAGATTGTTTACATAAATTAATATTTCAAGTACTCACCGGCAATATTTATTAATTAATAATACGCAGTATGTTATCCACGAAAACAACTGTCAACATTATATCCACAACAAAATTGCAATAGCGGCAAATAACAGACAAAACAACAACCCGAAAAATATTTAAATTCGTTTAACAACGTTTAACAGATCAAAATTAAAAATGTACAAGTAGATCAACAATAGTTACGATGGCGGCAACAGGACGCATCACCGCTATCCGTCGTTCTTTACACAGCCAATCGTTCGTCATCGAAACTTAACATCGCTGTTTTCAATAAAATACTTAATAAAACAAAATCGCGATAAATACTCTCAAGTATTATAACTCTTAATCACTGAAAATCGACTTTTTTAGACCGATTGAAGAACATTCTATCCTCGAAAGCACATATTAATTTCTTTATTATGTTTTACATTATTATTTTTACTTATTACACAGTCGTGCGATTGACGGCAGTCTGGGAGCAAACAAAAACGGAAGATAGAGGTGCGCAGTCGCACGACAATCGTTTCGGGGAAGAACTCACTTCTATAGACTAGTAAAACTGTAAATTGCCCAGTGTACTCTGCACTTAAAGATGGCCGATGACAACAGTTGACGGCTACAACATTCAGTTTAGCCAACGCAACTATTGAATGCTTTCCCGCGTAAATTTCTGCATAGAATTTAATATTTTATCACATGTTGAGTTGTTTAACTCGTGGCGTTAAGCCTTGACGTTAAAATCACAATAGTGCACAACCATGATTCTCATATTCTTTAAGATAAAAATAATTTTCAACCCTGAAGCTTTACATATACTAAAGATCAATTTTTGAACGTAGCAATATATCACTTTGAAAGTGTTTTTTTTTTAGTTATAAACTAAATTAACTAAAAAATCTACGCTCTTTAAAATCAAATTAAAATAAAATTCTTGTAATGTACTTTATCAGAGCAGGTACAGAACACTTAAAATATTTTATATAACAATTCATATTTAGTACTCTAACTTATTTCGAGAAGAACATAAGTCTTCAACTAAGGTTGCTATTTCCTTATTGCATCTATGCACAGGTGTAAGATATCCTCGTTAAGATAAATTATACATCATTTTAATTTATTAAAAGTAATAGTATTCATAATTCCAAATTATCATATGTTGAATATATATTTAAAACAACAATTTTAAAAACTTAGACCACTGAGTCACATCAAATGATTAAGGTGTGAAATACACATTTGTAAATTAATATAATTTTGAAAAAGAGTAATTTCCAACTCATTCTAATGTTAATTTATTAAATTACTATTACTACTACAAAGGAAGTTTAAAAAAAAAGCCGATTAACCCCACATTTTTCAAGTTGATAATAATAGCATGGTTGAATTAATTAAGTGATAAATATTTTTTTTAACAAAAGTGGTAGATCATCTTGGTTCTTGAGCGCCTCATATAATCTATGTGTCAAAGGTCCTGGGAATCATGGGAGGGAGTAAAATAAAGATTCCTCGTGGCGTAAATAATTAATTTAGACTTTTAAAATATAATTGAGAGAGGCAGTACTGTCCATGATCACCACTCACAAAAATGTTTTGTGTAATATTAGTTCACAACAAATGAAAAAGTAATTAAATTGATGAGTAAAATATTGACTGAGCAGTGTAGAACCCTTAACTTAAATAGGTCAAAAATTATGTAAGTATTATGTTTCAATCGTGACAAATGNACAAAAATGTTTTGTGTAATATTAGTTCACAACAAATGAAAAAGTAATTAAATTGATGAGTAAAATATTGACTGAGCAGTGTAAGAACCCTTAACTTAAATAGGTCAAAAATTATGTAAGTATTATGTTTCAATCGTGACAAATATTACTTTATCAGTAAACTCTCTTGTGGTAAACATAATATCATAGATTAAATACACATAGATAGACTACGGCAATCAGACAATTGGCTACCGATTTTTTGTTAATTTATACCTGAAATATAGCGCTCTATATACCCTCTCTAGAAATATTAAATATTTAATAATAATTATCCAGCTTGTTGATATTCAAGTAATAGCCCCGACTATCGTTGTACGGCTGACACTGCTAGCGCAAATTTCTGATTAAACCGATTTTTTTTAAAAATATGTCATAGATCACAAATTATATCTAGTTGATGACATTTCCTTTAAAAATTGAAAAAAATTCTCTTGTCTCTTTTAAATTAAGGAAAATTCCAAAAAAAAATTAATTTTTTAAATCGGTTAATTTCGACTTCGTTTAAACTTTTTTCTTGAAACTGCCATAACTTTTTTAAAAATGAACGCAAAAAAATAATTTTTTTTTGTATAATAATTTTGCGGAATCTGAGATCTAGGTTTTCTTTTTGTTTTTACCACAATTAAAAAAACACACTTATATCTTTGTAATGAGGATATAAGCTCTGAACTCATCTTCAGAGCTCTAGTGAAAATATGAATAGTGATTCTGAAGTATTTAAGATTTTTTATTTAGTTTGGTATTTTTGTATAAAAACAACACAGAATTACAATATAGATAATAATTCTTGTTGCAATAAGATCTAAACATCGCTAATGTATCCTGTTTTTAACACAGTTCCAAACAATCCTGGCGACAATATATCGTACGTGGATTATAGTATAATTGTTTTAGTCTAATTTTTTTTTAATCATGTTAATTTTTAAGGATCAAATGAATTCACAGAATTATATTAAAAAATATTATTCCTCGTAATTGTAAAATGTATGTACATCTCAAATTGATTAGAAAAAGGAATTATGCAGTATTAAAAAAAAATGTGTAAATTATGCAATAAAATAATGTTTTATATAAATGAACATGAATTGTAAGCAGATTATTATTTTTTAATACGGCATAATAAATGCCTATTAGTAATACTTGATTCGAAATAATGAAATCAATAACATCAGAAAAATTCTTTATTAGAGAACTTTTAATTGAATTACAGCTAAAAAAAAGTTATTTTAAGCACTTTAAATCCTCCATTGACATATTTGATATTTTGGAATTTTATATATATTTCAATTTAAAAGTTATTGAGCATAATTAATTAAAAAAAATTATTAAAAATTCAAATCTGGTTAATTAAACTTTAATATTTGATTATTATTTATACGCAGGTAAATTTAACGGAATACTATTTTAAAATAAATTAAATATTTGAAACGGATTTTTATGAAGAAAGCCATGTATGCACATCTAATAGTCCATAATAATATATTTTATTATTATGGACTATGACTAGATAGACTAGATGTGATTATTATATATCTTGATATAGTAATACAAATACAAGTATAAAAACTCTGTGGTACTGGGACACAGCCCCCATGATAATTTTTATCATAAAGATTTTTCAACTCGTAACGACAAAATAATTTTTCTGTATAATCGTCTGCGTTTAGTGCATCGTTTCCTTGCGTCCATTCATGATAAAAATTGAATTGCCAAAATGATGTATGGTGTGGTCTGTCTATGTGTATATAATCTATGATACTATTTTGAACAGTCTGCCAATGTGTAATTGTTATGATAACATAAAGATAAAAACATTTGAACTAATATATTCCGAGTAAAAAGATTTATTATTTGATTTTGTATAATTTTTCGTGAAAAGTATTTATTATAGATTATTGGTTAAACAAATTATTTATTTTTACTATCTAATTTTCCAAATATAGTTAAATGTTCAATTTGATTAGTAAACTATTCAGTTAAGATATGTTCAAGAATATAATTCTTGAATTATGATATAATGTATTGTTTACTGTTGTTGACTCTTTAATTTAAAAAAATTTAACATGGCCACTGGTTAGTAATTACTAAACTATTATATTGTATTACATAATTACTTTTTATATTTTATTTAACTCGTTCATTTACTAACACTTAGTATTCTTTAAATATATCATAACTTGTATTACATTAATATTAATGCTTTTTTTCTAGGAACAAATAGAAATAAAGTTGCTTTAGCACCAGGTCATTCTTTAATGGATTGGATTCGCTTGGGTAACTCAGGAAATGATTTAAGCGGAGTTGGGGGTAAATTAATATCTGTTTCAAGATCAGAGTTAGCTAAACATAATAAAAAAAATGATGCTTGGTTAGCAATAAGAGGTACAGTATATAATGTAACTCATTATATGGACTTTCATCCAGGTGGTGTAGATGAATTAGTACGAGGTATTGGTACAGATGCTACTAAACTATTTTCAGAGGTAAGGAAAATTTATGATTCCCAATTTGACCAAGTAGTAGTGTTAACTTAAAAAAAAAAAAATAAGATTATGAAAAATAGATACATGCTTGGGTGAACTATGAATCGATTCTTCAAAAATGCATTATTGGTCGTTTAGTGAATGAAGAAATATATAAACTACCAGAAGTGTTAAAATCAGCAATAGAAGATGATTTAAAAATTGATTGGTTTCAGCAACTTAATTTTTTGTGTTTTGTGTTTTACACAAAAACACCTTATCCTGAAGTAATTATTCATAAAATAATTATTTGCTGTAATACTTAATTTTTTTTAAATTCTATAAGTAATCTTGAACTTGTAGTTAACATAAGTGTAAAGTTGTAAAAGATGAATAATTTCAGTTTATTGAAATTATTCATTCAGATTACTATCTTATTTTAACTAATAGTTCTATCTAGTAACCTCTTTTATTTTGTTTGATTGAATGCTTCATAATTAGACAAAACTAAATATCATTGTGAAATATTCTTTGCTACTGTGGAAATACTCATTTTTCAAATTATTAAAATTAATTGATTAATTTTTTATATCTATTTAATTAATGTGTTCCTATTGCATTGAGATCCTATAAAATTAAATATTTTCACTAACTTTTATATTTCATTTACTTAAATTAAATAATTGTAAGACTCATTGTGGTTCATTAATTTGTTATACCAATTAATTCAACTAGTGAAATCATTAATTAATATAAATTTTATAGGTATCTATGAAATTAAAAAGTCTAAGTGAATTTGATTGTACTCTCAATGGAATTACTAGATGTGTAAAACTTCATAGTAATATTAAATGGCCTTTCAATGTTAAAGTTGTAGCCGAAACTGGAAAAGTTCAGATAAAACTGTTTAAAAAAAATTTAGCCCTTTGGCCCACATTTGGTAGTATATCAGTTGCTAAATATTATCAAATTAATTACTGGAAATGTACATTAAGTGAAATATATGAAGTTACCCATAATGTAAACTTTTTATTATTCAAATATGAAGAAAATGTATATAATCATGTATATCCTGGACAACATGTTTATATTAAAGCTAATTTAAATGGTTATGTCTTAAATTTTGTTAATTATCTAAATATTATTATTAAAGTTATTAATATTAAGTAGGTAATGATGTATCTCGACCATATACACCTGTTTGGCCTCTTGTTGAAACTAGTAAATATGGACAAATTTTAGAAGACAAAATATGCTTCTTAGTAAAAACATATACTCATGGAAAACTTAGTCAATATTTATATTCTTTACATCCTGGTGATAATATTGAAGTTAGTAAACCACAAGGTTTATTTAAATTTTGGACATCAAAAAAAAGTATTATAATGCTAGCAGCTGGAACAGGTTTAACACCAATGGTACCAATTATTTGGAATGCTTTGCATTCCTCAATAAAAGTGTAATATAATATTAGTCCCATTTATTAGTAATAATTCTAATAATTTATTGTAAAATTATAGGTATAATGTAACTTTACTTTATTGGAACAAAACAAAAAAATGTATCATTTGGAAAGATCACTTAGATAAATTGTGTGCCAATTATTTACAAAGGTATATATTATACTGGTAATTTAAAAATCACAATCTAATGAATATTAATAATAATCATAACCTCATTGAATTCATATTAGTTAAGAGTTAATAAAATTTTAAATGTGCATTAAAAATCATAAATGCAAAAACAGAAATTCCTTACAACTTAATTATATTTAAAAATTTTACTATTCCTAAAATCCAAACTGAATTCATATTTCAACTTAAAAAAAAACTGAAAATAGATAAAATATTTTTAAACAATTTTTACTTAATTTTGACAAATAGGATTTTAAAATAAAAGAAAGCTGCAAATTGATTGTAACATGATTAATTACACTTTCTTTTGATTGTATGTATTCTAAATTAAAAAAATTACTGTTAATTATTTAAATCATTATTTTTAAACTCATTAGTTTTAGAAAAAATGGCTTGATCTCAAAATGACATTTGGGAAGTAAAAAAAAAAAAGATAAAATTAATAGATATTTTGTTTTAAGTTTTAATGTTCACTGAGATACTATTGTTTACACTTGGATTGATCTAGAAAACAACTAATAAAATGATGTGGTTAATACCTGTCTTTCTTTTAAATATTCATATTCTTCCATATTTAATATAATTATTTCAATATATATATTTAGATTTGAATCAAAATATAACTAAATGAGTCATAAATATCTAAATTTATTCTGATTTTGTAATGGCTTCAATAAACCTACATTAAAAAATTATTTAAAAAACTATTATAATATTTAATATGTTAACTACTGAATTTTAATTTTTAACAGGTTTGCAGTTCATTATATGGTTACAAATGATGAAAGTCTAGGAAATGTGCATAACAATCGTATTGATGAACTAATTATTGATAAATATGTTCCAGAAGTAACAAAAAATAGTGAAGATAACAATGGTATTTGCATATGTGGTCCTTCTGGATTCAACCAATTATGCGAAAAGTAAATAAATTTTATGAAATTAATATTTTAATTCTAATAAATAATTTTTTATAGATTAATTATTCAGAAGGGTTACTCTCCAGAAGACTATTTTGTTTTTGGATAAGATCAGTACTGTAAAATTTTATTCAAAATATTTAAAAAAATCATTTTAATGTACAAAACTTTGGTAATGACTCATTAAATAAATTATTTACCAATATTTATCAATGAATTAATTATAGCTGTACATTTCAACTTCAATATTGTCTGAGTTAGTTAGATTATTTAATTTATCTAAATGAAATAATTTTTTATAAGTAAATAATAAACCAAGAGTTTAATAATAAATGACCAATTTAATTATTTTTTTTAATTTTTATAACATAACATTGTGCTACCAGTAGAATATTTAGTAAAATTATATCAGTTTATAAACTTATTTATTAATCGAGTGTAAATTAATAAAATACCAAAATAACTAAATTTTGATAAAAATTCAATAATTTGAATAAAAACAGCAATATTGCATAAAAAAAAAAAAAAAAAAAAAAAAAA